TTTTATTACCCCTAAACGTGCCTCACCTGAAATAACCTTTTCGGCTATTTAGTGTTTGTGATATTTCCATCTCCCGCTAAAATTAATATAAGCAAATACTGTGTAAGAGAGGTCACAGTTGCCGAGCTTATTGCAAAATGTATGAGACATTCATGCCTATGCAATTGTCTTGAAAGGATGTTCATTGCAGCCTTGGGGATAGATGTTGAATGACAAACATCTGCTGTGTTCCCCGTACGCAGTTAAACTACAAACTGGATCTAGTAATTACTGATCTAAACAAACTCAGCACACCACAGAGAGTTTGAACACTCTACCACTGCTCTATCAGTATCTGCAGAAAGACACCCTACAAGAGAGAGCTGTCGGGCACTCAAAGTGAATTTCAAATTTAAGGTCCAAATAGATGAATTGGAAAAATTCTCCAAATCAGCTACGCTTTCAGTTCAGCCATTCACTTTGCATTCCCAATAATTCTCACTTTAGACAATAATCATGATTGTCTTTTAAAGTATATTTTGTTATTTAATATATTAATAAGTGCAGGTCTTACTATGGACTGATCCCTTGGGGCCAAAATCACTAACTGATTTTGTTTCCTAAAAGCTTACCATTAGTATAACTATTTCAGAAAAGTATCTACTTATTAAAATAGAACAAGGAGTGGGGGCGGGGCCTGACTGTCATGGAGGGAAGACGTGCCTAGCTGGAGCTCCACACTAATCTTGGAAATATGGCTAAAAAGGCACTTCTAAACCACTACAAAACACAACACAGGACCCCAAGCGACTTACTAGCCCTCTACCCTCATGGTGAACCGGTGATGCGGCCCATGAGTGGACGACAGACGGCAGAATGCACCCGCGAGGGCATGCGGCCTGGCAAGCGCCGGGCGGGAGAGGAGGCCGATCTCCCAGCCTGGAACCACCAGGAGACCAAATGCCACAAGCGGACACCCTGCAACCCCCCCCTTTGGACCGGTGGGGGTGATCCCGGTCCCCCCATGGTGGTCCCCTCCAACACGACGGAAACAACCGTGAAGATGGAACTGAGAGAAACTGAGAGAACTGAGAGGCCTACCTAAAATGGGGGAGACCACGCAGCCAGCAGACAGTCAAGAGGTACCACTAAACCCCATGTCCAGCATAGACAGGATTTTCCAAAACTTCTGGCTTAAGCTCAAGCTCAGGCTGAAACAAGGTACTCCACGACTACTCACCGTATGCCGCCCACCACGACAGCCACCACCCAACCCTCAGCATCAGCCTGCAACCCTAACAGGGCCTAAAACCATGCAACAGCGAAGTAAGCATGCCCTCGCTTGCACAGGGCGGCAAGAAGGAGGACACAGCGGAATACAAGCCTCAGCCTCGAACAAGCACCCACCCCCTCATGGGCGACCCTACCCAGGCCAAGTGGCACAACCATCCGATCCCAATCAGACCCGCTCACTCACCACACCACAACGGAGCTCCACAGGCCCCCACAGCAGGGCTCTGCTCAGCCCCAACACGGCATTGAGTGAACCACCAGCGATGCTTCGGCAAGCTGGTCCCAAGATGGGGAGACCGGAGGCAGCAAGCACAAAAAGGGACTCACACCTGGGGGACCCCAGGAGACTTTATTAGGCTATTAGCTCAATTGAATATAATCTCACGTTATAGTTTTTGCCACTTCAAAGCAAAAGGGTACAAGCAACTTGCGTATTTAGGACAACACAGCTACAACACACATAACATACTAATGTAAGTCTTAACTTACTAAATGAAACATAAGTGTTTATACTTCTGACAAATGCATTGTCATATACCTCTAACCCTTAGCATAACCACATTTTGTCATATACGTGAATAGTTTAGCCTCTTCATTATAAACGACGGATGAATCATAAACTTGTTATTCTCATGATATTATACAAATGTGCTGTTTTAACTGCCACACTTTGGAATGCTACGATTTGCTTGCAGTTGCTGTCGTGGCTCTGCACGCTTGTTTGTTACTATGTGCACAAGTAAAATAAAGAATAAAAAAAAAAAAAAAAATAGAACAAGGAGTTTAGGCATATGCAGCAGATAGCCTGGAGTAATGAGGTAACATGCAGTGTTTGTCTGGGCACCATAGTTAATTATATGGAAGTCAAGTATGGACATCTGCTCCCACACCTCATTCCAAGATCGCAGACAGTAATGTGTACATGGTTCCATGGTGGCTGCTGTAACAGCCTCCATTGTCATAGGAAGACAGTATACATTTAGGCAGAAATGCCATTTGGAATGCCAAGTTGTAAAACATGAATTATCACTCCGAAACATGTTTCCACTGTTGTAGAGTCCAATGATGATGGCTTCAAAGCTCTCCAGCTAGTGCTTACTGTTGCAAAGTGTGATCATATGCATTTGAACTCTATACTATGGAAAATACAATTTCATGAAGCTCTCAACAAGCAGTTCACATATGGATATTCAGAGGCAGTTTGTAACTGGCAGTGATAGTTACAACTGAGGGTAGCTGACTTTTTTTTCAACTTTTTATTTATTTATTTATTCTTTGTTAAAAGCTTCAATCCTTGGTCCTGATCTTTTTCTTTTCTTCTATAACCTACCGCACTTATATGAACTGTCAAGGTATTATAGACTTTTCCACTGTACAATAACAGCTTATACAGATGCTTAGGGCATATTTTTGAAGAATTGACTAGCAATAATAGTATCGTACGACCTGGGCTCTGCACTATGGACCATTATATTGCCACAACTGTCAACAACCGGTGGGGCTTAAAGAGCCAAATCAGACGCTGTGAATCAAATTTTGGGATTTTCGGTGTAAGTGTGTTAATGTATGCTTTGCGTTGGTTTTATAGAAGAAGAGTATATAAAATTGATTAGCTTCTGTTACATAAGTATCATGTATTCTATATTTAAAAGCATTCTATTCCTCCCCTGATGATATCACATGTTAAATTAAAAATACAAAAAAAGTCTACATGCCAAGTCTGTTAACTTTATGGCCAAGATTATGGTTTCTGGGAAAGTTGCTGTATAAATCATACACATATGCAGTGGTTCTATCCAAGATATCTTGGCCACGTAAGAGTCTAAAACAAATCAGATTCTTTTTCCGTGAATATGGACATATAATGGGTCTGAAATTGAAAATGTTAATGTATTTATATTTTTGCATTAAAGCAGACACATAAAAAAGCATAATGATTTTTTTAATTATGTTTAAACACTGTCAGGATGTGTCAAAAAAAAACTCTGAATAATAGGGAAAATTTCAACATGTAGGCAAAGCAACTTGGATTTGTAGGAATTCTCTGAGTAATCTGAATGTCAATTCATTACAATTAGATGTTTAGTAAATAAATCCCTTTGCTAACAGGCAATGAATGCTTTCCACAATATTTAAGGATTTTATTAAAAGAATTGTTTCCAAACAAGTTTTGGTGAGTTATTTTGACTTAATACCAAAATAAAACCAAAAAACAGTAAGACCCGATCTCAAACTCCCACTACTCTTGAGCAGCAGTATTGGCTATAATAATTATCCGCCCAGAAACATAAGAGCAAATATTTTTCTGTTTTATTTTCTTTGTGTTTTATGCCAAAATAGGCCATTAAAAAATAAACACCAGATATTTATATATAACTAAACCTCATGTCCATTCTTATAATAGATATGTATAGGTTTTACAAGGGTAGTTCATTATACATCATGTTTGTCTGCTCCAGTTGCAAGAAGAACAAGGAGAGTATTTTCCTTGAAATAAAATAGCAGATATTATTTGCATTTAAAAAAAATATAATTTAAAGTAAATAAGTTTCAAAGGATACAATCTTGTTATCTACTTTTTGAACCGGAATCTAAATTTAACAACACGCGTAGTCTAATTTGTAAGAAGATACATTTAGTGTAATTTTTTTTCATATTGCTGTCCGTCAATTGCATTGTCTTTATGACCTATTTCATATCCAGTTACTTGTTTGGTAGTTCACACACAGATGCAATTTAATAAAAGCAATTCTGGTAGTGTTGAGCATCGCTTAAAAGACAGCTGTCACCTCAAATCAATTTTTAATATAATAACATAATATAATTAATATAATAATCCTTTCTCCAAGCAAACTAAAAAGATTTTTTTCAAAGGAAGAATATGTAAAATATTAGGAAAAGGTCATCCCTACCTTTAGCATCTGATTCTTCAGCCATATACATACACCTTGGGTCAGACAGTGTTTGAGACCCAAAAGTTAGTCTCTATGATCTTTCTATACAGGAATGTGAAACAGGGAAGACCACAGAGACTAAATCTAGATAATAAAATATACATAGTGGGTCTTACTGTGCTGCCTGGAATGTTTCTTTAAGGGATAACTCACACTAAGGAAGGTTTTTTTGAAGGCATCAGTTTTCCAACCACCGTTAACCAAAAAATAAACATATTTTGACATTTAAATGTAGACAAAACTACAAAAGAGTATATTAAAAGACTGGAAGAGTTCCATTGTAGGAATAAATCAGAACATCACAGTACTACAACGATGATCTAATAGTCCTAAAATGACTAAATACATTACTCTAGACCAAAAGTTTACAAAACAGTCTTCAAAGACCACCCTAACTTCATGTCATACTGGAACTCAATTGGATAATCGATTACTCATGGACCAGCTTGAGTACTGCAATTGTAGCTCAGGTCTTAGTGTTTTTTTGCCTACATGTCAGAACATATTTAGCTAGACAGATAAAAATCTTGTAATACAAAAAAAAATAATGAGTATATTGATATATAAGTCACTGTAATTTAGTAATGACTGTAGGCAAAGGATATAAAAAAAGACAATGCAAATTATCCTGATTTCTAGGTAACGCAAAGATGCACATGTCACTGTTTGTGTTAGTGTTCGGATTTACAAGGAACATAGCAGTTTTTAAATCCCTTTCAGACCAAGGAAAAAATGACAAACTACAGAGAAATATAATTTTACCTTTCTGTGATGCTCTTGGCCGACTGTAGAAAGCGAGCATGATCATTCTCCTTTAAAGATTGCTCTGCCTGCGAAATGAGTGAGGTAGAGCGTTCTATGCATTGCTTGCAGTTTCCTATCTGTTGCGCCAATTTTCTCAACCTCACCACCTTAAAAAGAGATCAGAAACAAAAATACTTCTATTAATTTTTATTGTCTGTGGTTATTTTAAGCAGGAATGGTCGAATGTGACACAACTCTATACCCTTCAAATTGCTGTAATACAGGCAAACCTGTTTACTACATTAAGTGAAAGTCAATGTACAGGGAGTGCAGAATTATTAGGCAAGTTGTATTTTTGAGGATTAATTTTATTATTGAACAACAACCATGTTCTCAATGAACCCAAAAAACTCATTAATATCAAAGCTGAATATTTTTGGAAGTAGTTTTTAGTTTGTTTTTAGTTTTAGCTATGTTAGGGGGATATCTGTGTGTGCAGGTGACTATTACTGTGCATAATTATTAGGCAACTTAACAAAAAACAAATATATACCCATTTCAATTATTTATTATTACCAGTGAAACCAATATAACATCTCAACATTCACAAATATACATTTCTGACATTCAAAAACAAAACAAAAACAAATCAGTGACCAATATAGCCACCTTTCTTTGCAAGGGCACTCAAAAGCCTGCCATGCATGTATTCTGTCAGTGTTTTGATCTGTTTACCATCAACATTGCGTGCAGCAGCAACCACAGCCTCCCAGACACTGTTCAGAGAGGTGTACTGTTTTCCCTCCTTGTAAATCTCACATTTGATGATGGACCACAGATTCTCAATGGGGTTCAGATCAGGTGAACAAGGAGGCCATGTCATTAGATTTCTTCTTTTATACCCTTTCTTGCCAGCCACGCTGTGGAGTACTTGGACGCGTGTGATGGAGCATTGTCCTGCATGAAAATCATGTTTTTCTTGAAGGATGCAGACTTCTTCCTGTACCACTGCTTGAAGAAGGTGTCTTCCAGGAACTGGCAGTAGGACTGGGAGTTGAGCTTGACTCCATCCTCAACCCGAAAAGGCCCCACAAGCTCATCTTTGATGATACCAGCCCAAACCAGTGCTTCACCTCCACCTTGCTGGCGTCTGAGTCGGACTGGAGCTCTCTGCCCTTTACCAATCCAGCCACGGGCCCATCCATCTGGCCCATCAAGACTCACTCTCATTTCATCAGTCCATAAAACCTTAGGAAAATCAGTCTTGAGATATTTCTTGGCCCAGTTTTGACGTTTCAGCTTGTGTGTTTTGTTCAGTGGTGGTCGTCTTTCAGCATTTCTTACCTTGGCCATGTCTCTGAGTATTGCACACCTTGTGCTTTTGGGCACTCCAGTGATGTTGCAGCTCTGAAATATGGCCAAACTGGTGGCAAGTGGCATCGTGGCAGCTGCACGCTTGACTTTTCTCAGTTCATGGGCAGTTATTTTGCGCCTTGGTTTTTCCACACGCTTCTTGCGACCCTGTTGACTATTTTGAATGAAACGCTTGATTGTTCGATGATCACGCTTCAGAAGCTTTGCAATTTTAAGAGTGCTGCATCCCTCTGCAAGATATCTCACTATTTTTGACTTTTCTGAGCCTGTCAAGTCCTTCTTTTGACCCATTTTGCCAAAGGAAAGGAAGTTGCCTAATAATTATGCACACCTGATATAGGGTGTTGATGTCATTAGACCACACCCCTTCTCATTACAGAGATGCACATCACCTAATATGCTTAATTGGTAGTAGGCTTTCGAGCCTATACAGCTTGGAGTAAGACAACATGCATAAAGAGGATGATGTGGTCAAAATACTCATTTGCCTAATAATTCTGCACTCCCTGTACATTTAGACTAACTATATATATATATATTTATTTAATTAAAGATATATACATTTAATGATACACTTTAAAGGTTACACTTTAGAACTGTGTAATAAAAATGTTACACTTGATCACAAACATATTATTAAAACAACGATATTACCAGTATAGATTAGAAATAGCACACTCAATGGTGCACATGTGATTTTCTAAAGCCTAATTCTATTAATAAAAGAGATAGGAATAGTGAAAGTATATACTATTGCTATTCCTTACTCTTTTATTAATAGAATTAGGTTTTCGTAATGCAAAGCAAATACCTTGCTTAAAACACTAGTCCCTTACTAATCAAGCCTAATTTTTTATTAACCAAATTATCTTCATTTATTTCATATGATACAGAACTTGAGATAGTCCTCATATAAGGCTACCTTTTAAAAACCTTAATGGTACCCTTCTGCATAAACCTTTAGTCTACAGACCCCTTTATATAGGCTGGTATCTTAGTATGATAGAAATATATGTAGCCAGACTATTCTATTATTGATGTCTCAAGAAATGTATCGATAGCATCATAGTCGTCAGTGTGATTATCAAGATATGTTGAGAAAGCCAGAAATATTGATTTGAAATACAATTAGCCTGTGAAATCTCAGGGGACATATAGTCATAGAAACAAAAACATAAATTCTGTAGTTGGAATTTAAAAAAAAAATGGGAGTTTGGACATAAAACATAGAATATGCTTATATTACTCAACAGTTACTCAAAACAAAGACAATAATGCAAAGTACTGATAATAATTAGAAGAAAAAAAAAAAGGTATTTCCAAACATTACTACCTAATATATTAAATATGTGGTTAATATCTACTCTGGAGCAAAGAAGAAGAAGTCATCATTTTGATTGGAGAAAGAGCAGTTCCATTATCAGCAGAACATTGAGAGTAATACATGTTTATTGTTAAATTGTCAAAACCTCTGAACTGGGATGATGGTCTTAATCTGTATTAAAGGATCACTATAGTGTCAGGAAAACTAAGTGGTTTACCTGACACTATAGTGCCCTGAGGGTGTCCCCACCCTCAGGGTCCCCTTCCCGTGGCAATGAAGGGGTTAAAACCCCTTCAGCAGCTTACCTTTTTCCAGTGCCGGGCTCCCTCGGCGCTGGCTCCCTCTCCTCCCCCGCCGACGTCAGTGGAGCATTTTTCAATGCTTTTCTGTGGACGCTCTGCGTGATGGAGGCATTAAATGCCTCCTGCGTTGCAGATGCGCCTCTAGTGACAGCCACTAGAGGCAGGCTTAACCCTGCAATGTAAACATAGCAGTTTCTCTGAAACTGCTATGTTTGCATCTGCAGTGTTAAAACCTGAGGGACCTGGCACCCAGACCACTTCATTGAGCTGAAGTTGTCTGGGTGACTATAGTGTCCCTTTAATAAAGAGAAATGAACACCTAATGGACTTAATTGTTCCTTTAGCTTCACTAATATTGTTAATATCAGGTCATTCACTAAAGTGTGAACTGCCAGGAATTCAGTTCCTAAACTGGAAAGATTTTCCAAGTCAACCAGTTTTCAGTTTTTCTATATTGGTCTAATGTTTGAAATTTACATTGAATTTATTTAGAATTCTGGACAATTCCAACTTTAGTAAATAACTGTGCGAATATTTTAACATGGAATATTATAGACCATCATTGGACAACAAGGTGAAAATCGATATACTAAATGCCATTCTCTCAGTCCCATGAACTTTCCTTACACTATTTCAGGAAGTTCATAAAGCCTTTATTAGACAACATATGCATAGATGCAACCAAGCCCAGCTAAAACTACATTTATGAGCCTATAAACTGCCTTTCTGCTTTACTATTTTTTAGCTTCCTCTCTTTGTTACCGACACACACAAAAATATGCATGTAGCCAGGATACATATTTTGATATAGGTCCCATGTGTTGGTATTGGACTCAAAATACTTAAATATTTCAACACATCTGTGTTTCCATACAGGTTCAGCAGGGTTTCTGTACTAAATCACTGGCCCATGCAAAGGGCTTGGTTTGAAAAAAATCTAAAAAATCTAGCATCTGCGGAGACATGGATTGGGTGACACGTAGTCTTGAAGCAGTTTCTCATTTGTAGCTGTCAGCATTTGTTTTTATGAATATTAAGAGAGTTCTACTATGACAGCTGTGGGTCAGAGCAGGCATATTATCACTGCTTTTACCATAGAGATTGTCTGTCTTACCAGAAAGGTGATCTGTTGAGGATACTATCTATGAAGACCACTCTATAAAAGGGATCTCTCCAGGACTTTTCTTAGACTTTAATGGAGTGAATTGTTCTTTAATTGTGAAGTCACATTTTGTTAAAAAAACGACTCCCTGTTGTTCTTTTGACAAAAGTAATCAATGCTCTCTTGGTTCAAGCCCTCCAAACATTGAAACATTTATTCCATAAATACATTAAATCGGAGTGATTATGAAATTGTAATATAAAAGTATCAGTGCTCATTCTGCAGGATTTAGTAGATCTATAAAGCAAAAGACACACAAGCAGATCTGACAACTCTATTGAGTTTATAAAGTTGAAAAAAAACTGTATTCCAATAAACATGTTAAAACTGTGCGCAGACTGGCATCTGTGAAACTGAAAATAACACACTTTGTAAGTTTTTTTTTTTTTTTAAATATAAGTGTAGTTATGTAAACCTATGATATCTAATTACTTAATGTTTGTCTTAAATTAAAAAAAACATGTTAATATACATAATATAAAATATGGCAGGAAGTCAGTTCCCGATAAACAATGAAATGTTCTGGTAAATGTGGACTTAGCAAATTCCACTTAAACTCTGACTAAATTACTCAATATTAAGTCATTTGTTTAGCTAATTCCTGCTTGAATATACACTGGGGAGTTAAGCACTAGAGCTTATGGTATCTCACACAAGTTGAGCGGGTGTTTCCAGACAAACTGTGAAAGTCTGTGAATATATCTCAGCAACTGTGTTTATAATGCTATGTACATGAAGCCAGAACAATCTCTTGCAGTCCACAATCTCCCTACGGAATGTTTCCTACTTGTACAATTAAATGGCTATTCATTTGCTTTACTGAAATATTGTGTTCTCCTTTCTATTCACGAAACAAAACAAAGCACAAAAAAAACAATGAGAGCCAAAATAAGCACAGCTGGTCTGTTTCCGTGTGTGCTCCCCATCAGTTCCTAGTATGTTGCATTTTACATTACGAAAATCATACAAAAATAGACTTAGACCAACTGGATGGTATTTCCTTCGTCTACTTATTGTTATGGCTACCAGAATGACAGCTAGGGTAGGCCTGGTTCCCAGCTATTGTCCTGGAATGGACTGTTACAGTTCAAGCTGTAAAGGACGCAAATATCACTTGATATTCGTAAGGAAATGATAAAGGAAATTAAATAAGGTCAAGTAGGGTAGAATCACGACAACTTCTGGAAGTGATATAATCAGATGGATGTGTCACTCACGATATGCTGTTTCCAATTTTGCATAATTTAAGAAAAAGAATGTTCACCTCCAATGAACAAATATACAAACATTCTAGTTTAGAAAGAATTCTACGTATAAATAGGAATTTAACATAAGAATGTGCTAGAGGCGATACTCTTAAATTTATTAGACACTACAAGAGCTTTCCTAGTTTTATTATAAAACGTTTCTGGAAACCTTAATATCTTCCTCCTGTTTTTTATTTTCTACTTAGTTTATGAGCGCAAGACATTGAATGTTGCGCAGATAATATTCCTAATCTGGGTTCCAAGTAATTTAAATAAAGGGAAACTCCAGCCTAGATGAAATTCCGACTTTGATGTATTGTAAAGAAAGTATGCAAAACAGTTTAAAAAATAAAATAGAAAAAATAATATTACAAACATTAGATCTGATTCAGTTATACATGCAAACTGCAGCAAAGTTCTACCCAGATCAGGAACGGGAGCTTCACAATGTGCTCAGTGGTGTTTGCTATTATCCTATTAACCTCTGTGCATCTACAATTATGGGGTATATATTTCAGCCCTAGAAGTAATTATATTCATCATTCAGGATGAGTGAAAATACCAAATAAACCAGGGCTTGACAAATTTGCTTTGAATCTAGAAGCCAGTTAAAAAAGTTAGGAGTCAGTTTTTTTGCTTTTTTAAACTAACAAAACTTTATTTTCAACAACAAAAATTCAATTATTAAAGTGACACTGTAGTCACCAGAACCACTACTGCTTAATGTAGTTGTTCTGGTGTCTATAGTCTGTCCCTGCCGGCTTTTCAATGTAAACACTGCCTTTTCAGAGAAAAGGCAGTGTTTTCATTGCTGTCTAGTAACACTTCTAGTGACAGTCATTCAAACAGCCACTAGAGGTGCCTCTTAGTCCAGTGCAGCACAATGTGCAGCACCTATGTTCAGCATCTCCACACTTTGCATGGAGGCGCTGAATGTTTTCCATAGACATGCATTGATTCCAATTCATGCGTACATTGGTGGTTTAGGTGGTATCCAAAAGTATTCAGGGACAGGAGAAACCTTTGCACCGTAATCTACACAATGAGAATGGTGTTAGGAGTGTCCTTTTAAAGGGAGGCTCCTAAACCCTTAGAGCACTTCCGTCTGCTGAAATTCTTTTTGTGTGTCCTTTTTTTTTTTCATTTTACAAAAGGTGCAGATTTCAATAGAAATTGGCACTTTCATGAATTCAGCCACAGAAAGTCTGGGCTGGGTTAGAAGGGGAGGATTTTACAAAGGCTTCAGGCAAGAAAACCGCAGCTTTTACCCCCAGATGAAAAAAATGTCTAAATAAATACATGCATTTTGATTGGGGTATATCTACTAAACAGAGATTTAGTTGTTTTTCATTAGTTTTTTTCTGTTTGTACAGTGAAGTGTCACTTTAAGTATATTTTTACTTCAGTGAATAGGATTTACCATTATTAATTAAATTAAGTGATGTAATTACCTGATATACTGCCCAATGAGAGATTTTATTTCTATGTTATGTTTCATTGTCTGGGAGACAAATTATTGAGGATAGAATGCTCCATCTATTAAGCTTCAGTGAACTTAACTATCGATTTAAATTTGTGTTCCATTTCAGGGTCTGTAGAATCCTGCTAGTATTGATGCTTCTGCACAAAGGGTTCACACGTAGTAACAATGCATATATATATATATGCGTGTCATTTGCAAAACTGATCATGACCCCAAGCTCACTTTCCCCTATTGCTCTGACCCAGAGGGAAAATAAATATCACATAATTACAGTGTGGAGAATGGTAAAAAAAACTAAAACATCTCTCAATGTTAACTAAACTCATAACATTTGAACATTGCTTACTTTAAAGAAGAACAAAGGACATCAATCACTAGGATTTAACCGATTTTACCTGTCACTCTATGAATTTGCTGCATTTGTAAGCACAGAGGTTGATGAAACACTCTTTTGCTTGGACTTGCAAACCTAGACACTGCCAAGACTGACATTGCTGTACTAGCTGATCCCTTTAACATGAAATGCCAACCGCTTTCTTTCTCATCATCCAACTATTTAATAGATTTGCAAATTTAAACTAAAACATCTTACTTTGCAAACCGCAAAAGAAACAAATATTCCGGGTCAGCAAATGATGAATTTGAGGAAACTTCATATCCCACTTTAACAAAAAGCACACAAACCTAATGTATGATAAAATGATAACGTGGGGTTAACAGTGCAATAATGGTCAATGGTAAAAAAATACTGAGCCATCAGGGCAGGGCCGCCATCAGAAATTTTGGGGCCCCTGACAAAGCACAAGGTCTGGGCCCCCCTCCCCTTCCCTCTCCCCCGGGCCCCTCCACGCCCTACCTAGTCCGCTGACAATTATGCAGTACTGAATGTGGTGTGTATAGTGGAAGTGAATTAGAATGTGTGTAATGGATGTAGTGTTTGTGTGTATTAGATACTGTTTGTGCATTGACTGCAGAGTGTGTGTTTGTGTAGCGGATGCAGTGTGTATAGTGAACGCAGAGTGTGTTTGAGTAGTGGATGTAGTGTGTGTACAGTGATGTGTGTGTTTGTGTAGTGGATGTAGTGTTTGTGTGTACTAGATGAAATGTGTTTAGTGGGTGCAGTGTCTGTAGTGGATGTAGTGTGTGTATTAGATGCAGTGTCTATGTATAGTGAATGCAGAGTGTTTCAGTTTGTGGTGGATGTAGTGTGTGTACTGTGAATACAGGATGTTTGTGTAGTGGATGCTGTGTGTACAGAGTGTGTGTTATTGTAGTGAATGCAGAGAGTGTGTTAATGTGTAGTGAATGCAGAGTGTGTTAATGTGTAGTGAATGCAGAGTGTGTGTTAGTGTATGCAGTGTGTGTATTGTATTGGTGTATGCAGAGTGTGTGTTGTGTTAGTGTATGTAGTGTGTGTTGTATTAGTGTATGCAGTGTGTGTATTGTGTTAGTGTATGCAGTGTGTGTTGTATTAGTGTATGCAGTGTGTGTGCTGTGTTAGTGTATGCAGTGTGTGTGTTGTATTAGTGCATGCAGTGTGTGTTGTGTTAGTGTATGCAGTGTGTGTTGTGTTAGTGTATGTAGTTTGTGTGTGTTGTGTTAGTGTATGCAGTGTGTGTGTTGTGCTAGTGCATGTAGTGTGTGTGTTGTGTTAGTGTATGTAGTGTGTGTGTGTTGTGTTAGTGTATGCAGTGTGTGTGTTGTGTTAGTGTATGTAGTATGTGTGTGTTGTGTTAGTGTATGCAGGGTGTGTGTTGTGTTAGTGTATGCCGTGTGTGTGTTGTATTAGTGTATGCAGTGTGTGTTTTGTGTTAGTGTATGCAGTGTGTGTGTTGTATTAGTGAATGCAGTGTGTGTGTTGTGTTAGTGTATGCAGTGTGTGTGTGTGTGTTGTGTTAGTGTATGCGTTGTGTGTGTGTTGTGTTAGTGTATGCAGTGTGTGTGTAAATGTGCAATCTGGTGGTGGAGGGGGAGGAAGGGGCATTTTCACATTAATTTCAAATAAATTTTATATTAAATTAGATAAATGTTATTCCCCCCTCCCTGCTTCTTACCTGTGTCCAGGGAGGGGGGACATTCCATCCTTGGTGGTCCGGTGGCATGGGGGGCCCCCTGGCTCCCTGTTACCGCAGAGGGGGCCCAGCACACTGCCTGTTCTCTTCTCTTCTAATAACTCTCGCGATACCCGCGGCCTTCTGAGCGTTGCCATGGCCAAGCAGACCACGGGTATAGCAAGAGTTATTAGAAGAGAGGAGAACACACAGTGTGCTGGGCCCCCTCTGCGGTAACAGGGAGCCGGGGGCCCGCGGCTGCACACATACATAGCGATATTCGCTATCTATGTGTGCAGAGAGGGAAAGTGGGGCCTGGGACTGCCAGAGCAGTCCGGGCCCCCCCAGGACCGCCGGGCCCGTGACAACCATCATGGTTGTCATGCCCTGATGGCGGCCCTGCATCACGGGGTTATTTAACATAGCTTCTGAGGTCTACTAGCTGAACTCCAAGTCTTAGATGTTAATCTGAGTAGCTATATTTTCTGTTATCATAGAATAGCGACGGAGTGTATAAATAAATAAAACAATCTAGGCATTTTGGAGCCATCATCAACATATCACAAGGATTAAGGTCAACTAATATGCATATGCAAGAAAAAAATTGTGAACTCTTTGATTTAATTTGGTTACTCAGAAAATGTATTGAATTTAAATTTATTTTCAAATATTTTTTTTTAATTAATTTTCATAAGATACAAAACACTGAGTAATAAACAAATACAAACATACATAGAAATTGTAGGATTGAATAAAATGTTACTCGGAAAATGTATACTAAGTGTATGCAGTGTGACCTAAGGCACAATTACATGTAAACACGATCTGACTAAACTAATAACACACAAGATTAAATGGATACTAAAGGCATTAAAACAACTTTAGTTTAATGAAGTAGTGTTGGTGTATAGATTATGCCCATGCAGTCTCACTGCTCAATTTTCTGCCATTTAGGAGTTAAATCACTTTTGTTTCTGTTTATACCTCCCCTAACTGTGACTTACACAGTCTGCAAGCTTAATTTTCCATCAGATGTTAACTTGCTTTTGAAGTTTTTATCTCCTGCTCTATAAATTAAACTTTAAACACACACACACAGGTGCTCCCCAGGGACTAGGACAGGGGAAGGCAACCTTTCAGTTGTACTGTGTCAAAAAAAGATCTTGAAGTCCTTTGGCATGCCGGTCCTATTTGTTTAAATTGAGGTGTGTTTGTTGCCATATTCTGTATGTGTTATGTATGGGTGATGTAGTTGCTTTGTAGCATTGTATCTGTGTGTATGTGGGCTGTCATATTGTATATGTTCATAAGTAGTTTGCGGTATTGTGTATGATATCTATGAGGGTTGTGCATGGAAGCTGCTTAAGGAATTGTGTTTGTGAATGAAGTTATGAAATTGCTTTATTGGTGTGGAGTGGTCCTTTAGGAGAGATTGTGTGATGCAAAAAGGCAATTACCAAAAAAGCTCACAAGTAAATGAACTAAAGAGTGGCTGAAAAAGAAGAAGATTTGAGTTTTGGAAGGAGCTATTCAGAGGCCTGATTTTAATCCAATTGAGATGCTGTGACATGACCAGAAGATTGTGTTTGTCTATAATTGTTATCTAGATGATCTATAATCAATTCAATGTTGTTATTCCAAACAGTCCACATACTTTTAGTTGCAACTGTATAAATGCTTCCAGAATCACAATATGACATTACTTGCCTTTAATACATTGCATGATTTTCTAAAATTAAGAATTTAATCTTGGGGAGGTCAGAAAAGTGTCACTATGAAGACCGGGACAGGAAATTTAAAGTGAAAATGGTATTGACATGTATTGTGTGACATAGTACATTATTTTATTGGCTCATCTAAAAACAGATGGGGAGTTGTAGGCTGGAAATACTGCAGATTAAGGCTTTCAAAGTTCTAAAAATATAAACTTTCCATATAAAGATACTCAGGATGTTTTGGATAAAACACAGACAAATAAAATCTAAAACTCTTTCTGACATTTCACCTTTTGGAACACCGGTCTTCAAACATTTTTGCATCAGTTCTTGCCGACAAGGCTTTTTATTTGAAGTTAATTAGAGGAGCATGACAGCTTAGTGAAGCAATAAACACACATTGGACTTTATTCTTATGCTGCAGTTTTTCCCATAAAACGACTACAAGGCTTGACATTTCAATCTGACTTCCGAGGTTATGGAGAAATACCACATACCAGAAAGGCACAGCAAGAATTGGTCAGCAGTGAAACAGAAGAGGTCACTCTCTAATTGAGTAGAAGATAGAATTACAAAGAAGTGGAAGAATTCAAAATCTCTTTGTACTCATTGCTACTGTCATGTGCTAACAATACCAACGATGGCGTAAAACCATGCAGCTTTCCTTAATCTTCACTAGTTAAGTTTTAAAGTGTTTTAGTTCAGAGAGGTATAGCAGTAAAGAAAATCTGTCATCTCTTTAGATTGCAGGTTGATGAACATTAGTAGAAAAACATACCAGCAACAGACAGGAAGTTGTAGGTAAATAGCGGGAAATCATGGATGATAATATTATGAAGATGAGTGTAGATGCCTAATAGAAAGACATAATAGTGATTTTTGCAGAGGACGTTAATAAATAAAGCCTATAAATACTATGTAGTTTTCCCAGAATCGTACAGCATTGTGACATTTGCAATGCACATCTTGTTACATGTATGGATGCCTGGATGTACCCGTCCAGGGTCCATACCTCTGTGATGGTTGTGTGCAAGTGGCTTCTCTGGCAGCTCAGATTGGAGATCTCGAGAAGCAAATCGCAACTTTGAGGGAGACTGACAATCTTGAGAGGAGTCTGCTGCTCACTGAGCAGAGTTTAGTGGGGACAGGTAGTGGAGAGGGAGGAGATAAAAGACAGATGGAACAGGCATGTAGCTGGGTGACAGTGGGGTGAGGAAGCAGTGGGGAGGGAAGAGGAAAGGGCTAGCTAGTCCTGATTTGGTGCAACCTAGCAGATTTGTCCATTTGAGGGAAGATGTTGGGAGCATCAGCTCAGGAGTAGCTGTATTAGAGAAAGCTGTTTCTTCTAACAGCCGAGCTAACAGCCCCCCTAGTACGGGTGGGGATCAAAATGTAAGGAAGGCGAGACAGGTTGTGGTGGTAGGGGACTCTATCATTAGGAGAGCAGATAGGGCAATCTGCCACTCTGATCGGCTCAACTGGACAGTTTGCTGACTCCCAGGTGCTCGGGTCCGGCATGTTGCTGACAGAGTGGATGGATTATTGGGAGGGGCTGGGGATGACCCAGCGCTCATGGTCCATCTTGCTACCAATGACAAAGTAAGAGGAAGATGGAAGGTCCTAAAGAATGATTTCAGGGAATTAGGTAGCAAACTTACGAAAAGGACCTCCAAGGTGGTATTCTCTGAGATATTACCTGTGCCACGTGCTACAGTGGAAAGTCAGCGGGAGATTAGAGAGGTCAATGCGTGGCTTAAGTCTTGTGCAGGAAGGAGGGTTTTGGGTTTTTAGAGCACTGGGCTGACTTTGCAATTGGGTACAACCTTTATAGTAGTGATGGATTGCCCCTTAACGGGAGAGGGTCTGCAGTGCTGGGAGATAGGATGGCTAGAAGGTTGGAGGAGATTTTAAACTAGTAGTAGGGGGGGGGGGTCATAGCAATCTACAAAATGGAGAAAGGACAGAGAGGAGATGTGCTTTAGCACAGTAAAAGGGGGGTGGAGACGGGGGGGGGCAAGCTCAGAACAGAGAAGCTATGTAATGTTGATAATTCACAAAATATACAAGTGACGCATGATATTAAATGTATGCTTACTAATGCAAGGAGTCTAAATAACAAAATGGGGGAGGCATTAGCATACACTAAACAATATGATATAATAGGCATAATTGAAACATGGTTGGATGAGACACATGACTGGGCAGTTAACTTAAATGGGTACATAGGAAAAACAAGAAGGGTGGTGGGGTATGTTTGTATGTCAACCATGATTTAAAGCCAAATCTTAAGCAAATGGAATGCGATGAGGAAAATGTGGAAGCTTTATAGGTAAATATCTGCTTGGGGGGAAAGAAGAGAAACCAACTATTGGTTGGGATATATTATAAACCACCTAATGTTAATATTGATGAGGAACAACAGCTGTTTGAGCAAATTGAGAGAGCTGCACATCTGGGTAACTCTTTAATTATTGGAGATTTTAATTACCCGGACATAAATTGGGACAGAGGGACAAGTAGCTCAGCAAAGGGAATTAGGTTTTTAAACTTGTTAAATGACACCTTCATGTCACAACTTGTGCAAGCACCAACTAGAATGGACGCTTGTCTGGACCTGGTTTTAACAAACAACGTTGATCTTTTGACCAACATTCAAGTAGGTAAGCACTTGGGAAATAGTGATCACAATATAGTGTCCTTTGAAATAAACTCAAAAAAAACAACGCACATGGGGTATACTAAAACATATCATTTTAAAAAGGCCAATTTCAATAAGTTAAGGGAAGCTTTACAATATATTGACTGGCATAAACTCTTTAGTGAAAAGAATACTGAGGATAAATGGATCATCTTCCAACAAATATTAGAAAGGTGCATTTCTCAGTATGTACCATTGGGAAATAAATATAAAAGAAACAAATTAAAACCAATGTGGCTTAGTAGAGAAGTAAAACAAGAGATTAAAAATAAGAAAAGGGCATTTAAAGCATTTAAATCGGACAAATCAGATGCATCTTATAAAAGATATAAGGAAGCAAATAATGCGTGCAAAAAGGCAATTGAAAATGAAAAAAATGATAGCTAAAGAGAGCAAAACCTACCCAAAGCATTTTTTTAAGTACATAAATTCTAAAAAACCCAAAATTGAAAGTGTAGGTACACTAAAAACTGAAACGGGGGTGTTAGTTAATGAAGACCAGGAAAAGGCAGGAATTTTAAATAACTATTTCTCCTCCGTATATATTAAGGAAGAACCCATGACAATAGATGTGCAAATGATTGCTACTAAAAACTTGCAGAATAATTGTAATTGGTTAACTCAAGACAAGGTGCTGCAGTAACTAAAGAAAGTTAATATAAACAAAGCTCCAGGGCCTGACGGTATCCATCCACATGTACTTAAGGAACTAAGTGTAAAAATAAGTGAACCTCTGTTTTTAATCTTTCAAGATTCTTTTCTTTCAGGCAGTGTTTCGGAGGATTGGAGGAAGGCAGATGTGGTTCCTATATTCAAAAAAGGTTCAAAATCCTTGCCTGGAAATTATAGATCTGTGAGCTTAACTTCTGTGGCTGGTAAAATATTTGAAAGGTTATTAAGGGATAATATTCAAGAATTCCTTGAGAAGAACATGGTTATCAGCAAAAATCAGCACGGTTTTATGAAGCACAGGTCATGTCAAACTAACTTGATTGCGTTCTACGAAGAAGTAAGTAGAAGTATAGATCAGGGTGTTGCAGTGGATGTGATCTATTTGGCTTTTGCCAAGGCATTTAATACAGTTTCACACAATAGATTAGTGTTCAAACTCAAGGAAATCGGTCTAGATGAAAATGCTTGTTCTTGGGTAGAATATTGGCTTAAAAACAGAGTACAAAGAGTTGTCATTAATGGTAAATTTTCAAGCTGGACAGAGGTGGCAAGTGGTGTCCCTCAGGGGTCTGTTCTGGGACCCCTTCTATTTAACATGTTTATAAATGATCTTGAAGACAGCATTGAAAGTCATGTTTCTGTGTTTGCAGATGACAAAGCTTTGTAAAATAATACAATGTGAGCAAGATATTACTTTGCTGCAGAGGGATTTAGATAGACTGGGGGACTGGGCACTCAAATGGCAGATGAAATGTAATGTTGAAAAATGCAAAGTTATGCACTTTGGCGTAAAGAATACACAAGCAACGTATACTCTTAATGGAAGCGAATTAGGGATAACAACACACGAAAAGGACTTGGGAATTGTTATAGGCATCAAACTATGCAACAATGTGCAATGTCAATCAGCAGTGGCCAAGGCCATTAGGCAGACTAGATGGGCCGAATGGTTCTTATCTGCCGTCACATTCTATGTTTCTATGAAAAAGGGCATTCATTTTCGGGACGAGAATATCATTTTGCCTCTTTATAAATCACTGGTAAGACCACATATTGAATATGCTGTGCAATTTTGGGCACCTGTTCTAAAGAAGGATATTATGGCACTAGAAAAAGTGCAGAGGCAGGCTACAAAATTAATAAAAGGAATGGAACATATCAGCTATGAAGAAAGGTTAACAAATTTAAACCTATTTAGAGGGGATATGATAACATTATACAAATATATTCGGGGCCAATATAAACCATTGTGTGGAAATCTATTCACAAACCGGACTTTACATAGGACATGAGGCCATGCGTTTAGACTGGAAGAAAGAAGATTTCGTCTAACGCAAAGGAAATGTTTTTTTACTATAAGAACAATCAGGATGTGGAATTCTCTGCCTGAAGAAGTGGTTTTATCAGAGTCCATACAGATGTTCAAACAGCTACTAGATGCATACTTGCAAAATCAGAATATTCAAGGATATAATCTTCCAATGTAGGGTAATAACTGCTTGATCCAAGGATAAATCTGACTGCCATTCTGGGGTCAAGAAGGATTTTTTTTCCTAGCTTGTTGCAAAATTGTGCTTCAACCTGGGTTTTTTTGCCTTCTTTTGGATCAACAGCAAAAAACAAATGTGAGGAAGGCTGAACTTGATCGACGCAAGTCTCTTTTCAGCTATGTAACTATGTAAGGTAAACATTGCCATTCCTGCTAAATGACAATGATTTACCATGAATGGTCAACGTAACAAGACCACGGCACCCATGCTAATTCATTAAGATGAAGTAGCCTGGATAATTTTACTATGTTTAACACTAATAGAAAACATCTACATTTGCAGATTTTCAGGTTAAAATAAATAACAATTTTAGTGAAAGAACAATGCAAATTACATATATATATATATATATATATAGAGAGAGAGAGAGAGATTTTTTTTCTTCTTACAAATACTGCCCACAAACGAATACTATACATTGAGGTCACATTTACCTTTCCCTCCTTAATTTTCGTTCCAATAATCTGTCTTCTCTGCTGAATAATTTCAATGAGCTGGTCACTCTCTTCCATTAGTTTGGCTTCTTGCCTGGATGCATTAACCTGGAAATCAAATGAATTCATGTTAGAATCTGGAAAAAAGAGGAGGCAGCAATACACAATGGGAAGTCAAAAGTGCAAAGGATAATGCTTCCCCTGTGCACCCTGAAAAACAATCCTTACAGCTTTAGATGACTTGAAAGCAGAACTGTCATACACCAGATAACATGCCATAAAGTAGCTACGTTATTCCAATTTTTATTTCTGGCTCAAAATGTTTGGATTCCTCAAACTGGAACATCTTTCGGAAAAGTCACAGGTGGTACATGTCAACTAAGCACTCTTACTTTTCATATTATACGTTTGGCACACTCAAATTTGCTTACTTTTGTGAGTTTGCCAATATCAAGTTCCCAATTAACTGCAACTGAAATTCGGCAAACACACACCACTAGAACAGACATGTAATTCAATCAGTATCTTGGGTTTGCCAGTATTGAATCTCCATTGACTTAAGTAGGGCTGAGCTACCGCGTTCAACAGACCACGTCAGCAAATAACTGTCCAAAATAGGAGAGCCTTTATATTGGCAAATCTATTCAGGCCCACTAGTGAGACTCATCAAAAGGAACACTTGAATTTCAATTTGACCTTTCAGGACATCACATGGCAAACAAGCAAAAATACTGATAATGTCATTGTTTCTGATTAATTGATTTGAAAATACATTGACGGGGTTATTCAAGGAATTCTCGAACCTTACGTAAGAAATACAAACATGTTATTTCACAGTGTTATCAGGCCAGTTAGTTTATTACACAACAACAAAAGTAACAGAAAAGAATCTTTTAAATTGCCTTCAGTCTACAGGCATGCCAGTCTCGCTGCAGCCACAGTTTCTTCTTAGGTTTAGCCAATACAATGCTTAAACAGGGAAGCACTGGGGGGCTGTTGCGCATGCGTGGCAATTGCCATGCTGAGCCAATCAGCATCAGCATGCCGGTTCTGCATTCAGGAAGTCCGTCTAGTGACTGTCAGAATGACAGCCACTAGAAATGGCGTTGGGCAGCAATGTAAACACTGACATTTGTCAAAAAAGGCAGTGTTACACTGCTGAGACTGTCCTTTAAAAAAAAAAAAAAAAAAAAGCATAAATTATCAACAAATCAAAGTGATTTTGAAACACACAATAGCCAAATGTCAGCTGTGCATTTTTCGTTTAATTTCTTCAGTTCTTTTATTTATTTTTTGTGGTTAGTAAAAATGAACAACATAAAGTTAGGTTAGCTATTGATTTGGTTAAATTTGAAAGAGTGCACTTTGAATCTCAGTGGGGATAAACCTACTCTATCAGAGTTATTTACTAATGTGAGAATTCTATGTGAATTCACCTTAAAATTCAAGGTGAAAATAGCTGAGCTGGAAACATTCTCTATGTGAGCTATTCTTTCAGTTCTGCCTTTCTGGTCCTAAATTTGAAATCAAATTTGAGTTCTCAATATAGCAGATAATCCTAAACAGAATTTTGTTCTACTTGAGTAAAGAACATATTAGAAGTAACGTTAAGTATCCTGATAGTGACTTGTATTCTCTGCTTTTGTGTGCCCTTTCTCAGTCGCTATGAAAACGTGTGACGGACCGCCTGGCACCCTGAACGGGTGCCTCCGCCAATCGCTGCTTAGTAGCAACATCGAGAACTCCTAAGCACTCTACCAGAACCCATAACAATCGTAAACCACACAGCCAGCGTTACAGCTTGGTTGGGGTCTCGCTGTCCCCCACCCACCCTGGAACCAAGACCAGGATCCAGCTTCCAGTGGGTAGACCTCTCCTACTCCAAAGAGTATAGCAGGATGGCTCTTACAAGAGTTAGTGTTGTAATCCAAGGGAGTATAGTGATTATAGCAATCCCCAGAGTGAATTTAACTATCCCCTCAACACATGAGATGATGCTCTATGTTGAGGGTGAAGAGGAACTCCTTTAACCCCTTAAGGACACATGACATGTCTGACATGTCATGATTCCCTTTTATTCCAGAAGTTTGGTCCTTAAGGGGTTAATGGCAGCCACAACTGGCCTTATATGCAGGTCCCCATGCATGGGGTTTACTCTAATATATTCTAGGGGCATTCCCCAATGGACCTGAGAGGGGACTATGACAAAGTACACACTGTAATGACATAGGCTCTCAGGTCCAGGACACTCCCACACAAAAAAGGATAGTCCCTCCACCGTGCCTGATAGATAATTGAGTCAGGTACTGTACTAAACTCAATTATCTCCAGGCACAGAAAACATAAATTTTACAATATCCCGAAAGTACCCCCAAAAAACATGGAAACCCCACAAAACTCACATCCCCTGATAGCCCTGATCTGGGGGACCAACATATCCAAAATTCACCCAAGCCGGTTCAGGGGTTCGGGATTTCCATGGAAGCCATAGTTATGACCAACCGTGCACATGGTCCTATGCCCAAAACAGTTCCAGGAAATTAGGGCTAACGATCGGTCTCTCTTTCTGGAGTACAAAAGTACATAAACCACATAAGTTTTTAAAGGGCCTATAGTCTTTTGGCAAGAGGCTGGCCAGCAGGCCCCTCCAAGAGCCTGTGGCGAGGTTACTTTCGCCACACAACGCTCGCAGAACATGTCCAGAAACCAAGAGGGAAAGCAAACTGTACTGAGTATATGCAATACTCAGGGAAGAACATAGAATGACAATTATAGATGAGGTATGCAACAGTGAGGTTAGTATTGTGGGAAAATGGGACTTGACAAAGGAAAAGGAGCTTGTCTTAAGCTCCATCCTAGGTCAAGATTTGTCAAGTGGAGGAAAAGGACAAATATAGCTCCTAATTTTTGTTGTGTATTTTTACAAAAAGAACAGAAAGGAAGAAAAGAATAATAGATTTAGAGACAGGAAGAGAAGAGGAAACGATAGGAGAAATGTAAGTTTGTGGTGAAAGAGCCACTTTAAAATAAAAGGCATGATCGAAAGGTAATATATTTGGTTTTGTGCAAAAACCCAACAGAGTACAATTCTGCTTTGCTAAAACCCTACAGTGTAATATTATCTTATGTGATGAATAAACGTCTGTAATAAATAAAACATCAACAATACACTAAAAATAAATAAAAGTTGTTTGTTTTCCACATTGATAAAATTACCATCTGTTTAGAGTTATTATTTAAACTAAAGTATGATTCCCTTATTTATAGGTATTTATGTGTAAAAGCTGGTCACTTCCTTTGGTCTGATAATTTGTAAATTTATGACATGTCACAGAACTTTGCCATGATGCAGTGAAAAAAAAATTCAACCTAACGCCAAAAACACGTATTTATTAAACCAACCCATAAATAACACCTGGCTCATTCTTGCACTCTGCAGGAGGCCACTAAAATAATGCCTTCCTTCCAAATATACGTTAACAAAAAAAAAATATTTGCGTGCTGGCGGAATGACTAATGGACTGTTCTGCTAACCCAAAGGGTTAAATCAATAACTTTTTATTGATTCGTTTCTGCTGTTCTGAACAGGTCACTGCACACAGCAGTTCCCAGGATGTCATTTTTTTAAAATATATAAATTGTTTCTGCTAGGTACAAATACAAAAATGACCCAGAAACTCAGAAAAGGGATTTATCATTCATTCTAGATATGGTTCAAGTGCAATAGGTGTATTCATTTTTTAGGATGTGCATAAATTAAATATACATGATATGAAACAAATCTACATTTAAATAATGTCATAAACTTCTGTTCACATTGTCATAAGTAGTACACCCAAAATATAAGCCCAACAAATCAAAACATTTAAAAGGCTGTATTATTACGAGCTGTCCTGTGTCATGACGTATTTTAAAATAATAAATCTGAAAAGGAAATGATCCAAGGTGCTTATTTTTCACCTTTTCATAACTGAGCCATAAATCAACATTGAAACAGATGCTGTCACATGCAACTGAGTCTGTAGCGGTTTTTCTTTGTTTTCTATAAATTCAGCATCTATTTTATCACTATAAGCTTAACTGCTGGTTTCAAAACTTCATCTAATTTCACTTTAGTAAAGTAATTGGCTTAAAACTTTTATTGGTGTGGAAAAAAAATATATATAAATGATTATCTCAACCACATGGAGAAAAGAATTAAAAAAACCAAAACAATTAATTTAATTTAGTATAAACAGCAACTAATTAATTAAAAGAGCAGTTAATGGAAATGTATTTTCTTGCATGAATAAATAAGAAAAAATGTAATTCGAGAAATTATTTTCTGAATTAACCCAAGCAGAGGAGAGGCGTCAGACTGATGCCTGGCAACACTTCTTCTGCGTTAAAACATTGTAACACTAGAGGGTAAGGTGGCACCATAACCACTTCACTGTGGGGTTATGGTGCCAAGAGGGCTCATTTTACAGCCTTAGAAGAATAAAATGCTGAGTTGCAGGAATTATTCCAGGAATTTAACCTGTAAATCTGAAATTCTGCAGCTGGAGCTCTATGCACTGAGTTATAGTTTTACAGTTCTCAGAAGTTAGCGAGATTTTTTATTTTATTTGCCTTATAATTCCAAACATGCATTTCTTATAGACTTTGATTCCATATTAAGATCTTATTAAAGATATGTGTGAGTCTTTTAAACATGTTTATAAAGCATTTCATACATCTGCAGAATCCACTTATGAAGGTAAGCATTGGCTAGTCTAGACTAATTCACGAACTGGATCATTTTCTTGTTATGTTTATATTTTAAATTTCCGGATTCCAGCATTTTGTGCATCCTGGACTGCACCCATCCTAAGTTATTTCCCAATGAGGCTAACGCCAAGGAGCGAAGGTTACAGGAATTATATTTGAAATGACAGACGTTGGGAAATCCCAAAATAAACAAACTGGTAATATACACCAAAGGAATGTGTGCAAAACTGATTTAAAAAAAAAATGCTCGAATATGTAAAGTACAATTCAGGTATGTGTTAAATGACAACCGTCCTCAATTTTAGTAATACTCGAAATATAAGATTACAAGTAGTTTAGCCTCTGAGCGAATGTGAACGTAAGTCGGTGGGCTGTTAGAGTAGTAGAAATACTGCATTTGTGATGATCAGCATTTACGTATGATGTAATTGTTTGTGAACGTATATAAACTCTTTATTGTTTTCATGGACTTAAACAAAGCATATAGATGGTGCAAAAATGAGCCTATTTATGGCTCCATCCTTGCGAGTATAACACACTATTACTATATATAAGACTGTTGGCTTCAGGCAATATTGCACCATCTATATGCTTTGTTTAAGTCCTAGCTGACATCATGCAAAACCATCTAATTTGAAGAAGGGGAAGGTCGCCTTTACGGACCTGTGAGCATTTTATCCCTGAGCTTGGTGGATAGCTCAGGAGAATGTGAGTGGTTTCTTTATATATACCTATAAAAGTTGGAACATATAACAGTGTCACACTATGGGAGTTTAATTTCATTTTTTAGGTATTTCCCATCAAGAATATACTATTGCTACTGTGTCCATTTTGGAAGAACACTCCTTCCGCTTTTGAGGAAATAATCCTTCCGCTTTTGAGGAAATAATCTGTATGTAGCGCTACACCTTTTTGTATTTGGTTTACATAGTTGGTGTATGTGGAAAGATTACACTTGCTGTCACAGCAGCTATTTGTGTGAATATTGGTGGATAACACTGCTAATTTCTAGTTGAATTTAAGCGCTAGTATATACCCTTTTTTCGTTGTTATTAATAAGTCACCTAAACTTTCTGAGAATAGACCCGCCCCTGGCCATGCCGCCACTCACACCCCTGAATGAAAGTATCCCTCTTTGTCCATTTGTAATGTTGGAAGGTATGCTATACACTTCTGGACTTTTACAATGTTATACTTTCCTCTTCCACCCATCCAGTTCCCTTCTTTCCTCTTTTATTTTAGCACAAAAATCACACACACAAAAAGAGACGCAAAAATCTGTTTGAGAATGAGAACTAAGTAAATAGATGCCATCAGGCAGTTTTGTCCTTTTCCCAATGCACTATTTCAGTCTTAGTTATTCCCAGAGCACTGCCAGCAATCGCTTTCATGTGTTATTCTGCACCCTCTCTGTGGAGCTTTCCCCCGTTCCCCCGTTCCCCCGTAAAGCCTATTATCCCCTAGGTTTAGAGGGTGAGCCGTTTGATTCAGTTTTACTTGCTTTGATCTGACATGTAAAATATTCGACTGAAGCTATTAATTTGTTCCTGCAGTACTTTATGAACAAAATTCTACACATTACGAGTTAACTTTAAACACCCTTCATTTAAATGAACAGGCTGGGTATTACAGAAACAACAGCACTGATGGATACATATGTTTCTGCAACAAAGAGACATACATGGAAAGATTGCAATCTAAAAATTGTAAGTGCAGTAATGGTATCATATATGTCGCCTTGACTTGATAAGGGCATATTATGTACATTTTGACTATTTTGCATTTACAATAGTTATTTCAAGGATTTTGTGCGTATTTGCTGCTATGAGCTGGTGACCCTGCTAAGCCTTGCTACTCCTAGAAGTCTTCTCCACAAGTCTTCACACTTGTCAGTTTTAGAGGGACAGCCATCAAACTAGTTGAGTTATAAGAATTCTGATCTATGTCCCCAGTTTGGTTATTTAGGCCGAATCATGCTGTTTCCTTGTAAATTTATCCTTTACAATTCCCAGTTTGATGAATAACGTTTAATAATCATCTATTACAATAATATATTGAATTTACTATTCTTAATATTTATAAGTGATTTATTGTCCACCAATAATAATTTGGTTGACATTCCAAGTAGTTAAACACAGTCTATTAGACACACCTTAGAACCATTAAAAAAAACAAAAAAAACTTATAGCAGTAAATAAACATGTAAAAAAAGTCATTCTTTTTTTCACAGGAAAATGAATCAACGTTTGTTGTTCTAAGGAATGTACAGTGGAGCCATATATGAGAGTCTCTAATGAAGACAACCATCCTGAAATGCTAAAGTGTACTGACCCGATTACTCCATCTCTAGCTTAGCACAAATCTGTGTCTTATCTCCTTCCATTTGTGAGTTATGTGTCTGCCAACAGAAAGGCAGATGTATACAGTGGTGGGAGAAGCCAGGATGACTCACAATTCTTTAAATGGATGCAAAGCCTTAACAAAGCTGGGAAATACAGAGGGGAGATGAGGCAAGATGATGACAACCTCCGTTCCCCGAAACAAAAAGTAAATAAAAGAGAAACAAAGATGGGGTTAGATCCATGGGGAGGCTTTAAATCTGTTTCCTACAGCAGTTGGACACCCTGCAGGGTCTGGCTTACATGTAGAGCTTACAGTGATGGGATGGGGGAGATCTTAGGATAAAAGAAAATGTCAGAAAGAGGCAATACACTGAATTATAAGGGCATAGTGTGAAGAGGGAAACATTTTAAACTCACATTCCATAAACCACCCCACAACCTCCCAATCAGGAATATGGAGGGAGTCAAAATGTCACATGGTATCAATTTACAGTGTTTGCAGATTGCAAGCAGAGGACTATTCAAACACTGAGGAGAATAAAGCATTCAATAGGAAATGTAACCAATAAGTCACCGGAACTATTGATAGAGGCTTAATGTTTTATATTGGAAAGCTAACATCAGTTTGTGTCCGGCAGTTTCTATTTGAGGGTGGTAAGTAATGGCTGTCATGTTGTTGAAATATAGGAGCAATGAGTGATATGGATAACTGTTGAGTGCTGTGTCTCATATCATTAATAGAGAGGTGCATTGTGTCACAAATATGTGCTGTAAGTTAATTATATATATATATATATATATATACACACATGCACATATATATATATATACACACACATACACTGCTGTGTGTGTGTGCTGCGTGAGGGTGGTTTGAGGGTGTTGTGTGTGTAAGGGTGTTGTTAGTGTGATGTGTGTGTGAGGGTGCTGTTTGTGTGCTGTGTGTGTGTGAGGGTGCTTTTTGTGTGCTGTGTGAGGGTGTTTGTATGTGTGTGTGTGTGTGTGTGTTTGCTGTTTCTGTGCTGTGTGTGAGAGGGTGCTGTGTGTTTGAGGGTGCTGTATGTGTGTGGGTGCTGTATGTGTGAGGGTGCTGTATGTGTGTGGGTGCTGTGTGTGTGGGTGCTGTATGTGTGAAGGTGCTGTATGTGTATGCTGTTTGTGTGTGTGTGTGTGTGTGTGTGTGTGCTGTATGTGTGTGAGGTTGCGCTGTATGTGTGTGCTGTATGTGTGAAGGTGGTGTATGTGTGGTGTATGTGTGTGTGTGCTGTGTGTGTGTGTGTGTGTGCGCTGTATGTGTGTGTGCTGTATGTGTGTGTGCTGTATGTGTGTGTGCTGTATGTGTGTGTGCTGTGTGGGTGCTGTGTGTGTGGGTGCTGTGTGTTTGGGTGCTTTGTGCGGAGGTGGGGGTACATTACTTAATATCCCCCCTCCCTTCTCACCTTATGTAGGGAGGGGGGATTCTTGTTCCTGCCCCCTGGGGCTAGAGTTCACTCTCGCGAGATCTGAACGTTGCCGCGGCAATGTTTAGATCTCGCGAGAGGAACCCGGCGGAGCTGCTGGTTGAGCTCCCCGGGTCCTCTCCTGCCTCCCTCCATGCTGCAGTGGGAAGGGAGGCTTAGAGCAGAGCCGGCGCTCGGATAGCACCGGCTCTGCATGAGCCGACAGGGGAGATCCTGAGATCTCCCCTGCCGGTCTCACGCCATAGGCGTGCCGCGGGGATTAGGGTGTTTCCAGGCACACCCAGCACACCCCGTGCACACGCCTATGTATGTATATACATTGATCCAATAAAGGTGAAACGAGAATATTGAAAAAGAACTATATAAGACATTAAGATGTGTGTTTATAAAACGTTTTGGTAGTGTGTGAAAGTCCTTCATTTCTGGTGTTGAAATGTGTCATCATTGTACCCCTGTTGGTCATCACTTCACTCAGACTGGCCACTCCATCCAAAACCTCAGGATTAAAGTTCTTAAAGGGAATTTCAAAGACTCTCATGAATGAAAGACATTTGAGATGAAAATGATCACACATTTCAACACCAGAAATGAAGGACTTAATGTAGACTCTGGCTTTCTCACACACTACCAAAACTTTATATAAACACACATCTTAATGTCCAATATAGTTATTTTTCAATATTCTCTCCACCTTTATTGGATCAATTTATATACATGCATATAAGCAGCTATTTACTTGCATGCCCTGCTCTGCTGTTTTCTTTTTGTGTGTGTGTGTGTGTGTGTGTGTGTGGTTTTTTTTTTTACTTTTCAGTTAGCTTATTGACTCCCCTCTGTTTATTTACTTTTTCTGGCTATTCTCAGCCAACCTGCACCTTTCACTTTCAGGCACATCTTCTGCTATTTATGACACCCCACTCACCCCCCACCCTCCCCTTCTCTAACATCAGTTGCCTTAAGTGTTAAACGCTATCAGATTGATCAGTATTGCTTCAGCCCTGAAGAAGAGAGGAAAACTCTTGAAAGCTTGGGTTTGACATGATTATGTTAGTCCAATAAAAAAGGTACCATTGCATACTGCAATACTCTGGTATGTTGGCATCTTGTCTACTGGACTAATACGGCTAATCCAATCTACACTATATATATATATACACACACATACTCTAATCACTGATTGTGGCCTTCATTTTGCATTTTGGATTTAATTAGCACAAATTTGGTGTTTGATGGTTTATTCTCGAAACAGTGATTTGTGGATTTGCAAAACAACATATTCAAGTTGATGTACTTTAGCATAAACCCTTAGTGAGACATATTTGACCTGTCTTACAGACAGCTGGGGAGATAGAATTTGTTACAATAGTTTATTTTCAAATGCCACAAAGCAAGTTTATACCGAACAGTCAGAAAGTCCATTTTAAGAGCCCACCCCTCCCTTTCAAGATGTATTTAATGATTCCCTTTGAAACACGCCATAATTAATAATGAATACTAACTGTTGACATAAACTGTTTAAATGGGCAGTCAAGGTGATTTGTCGCAGCCCAGTAACATCTTCCCCTTCCAATAAAACTTTCACAGGCAAACACTTCACTTGTAGCTGTCACTATGAGCACGTCTGCCATGAAGACGCAGTGTTTAAATGTGACGTGTGTACATCAACATTCTTACTGCAAACAATATCTGTGTGTTTGAAATGAGCAGTGACATTGAACCAAGTTGGATTTAAATACACAGATGTCTTACGTGCTTAAATCAGAAACTGAAGGAGGTACCTGTGGGAAGGCTCTTTATTTTTAGAGCGCTGTGAGTTGCAGACAGTGATTTTAAGGTAAAATTAACAGGCTTCCTGCCAACTGCTAAAAATACTGAACGCATAAGCACTGTGATTGTTTAATGTAACCCTCAAGGGGTGGCTAATGTCAGCATAGCTCTAATAGTTGAGGTTCTATGTAATCAGATTTTTCCGCCTGCCCCTGTGACTTTTACAACATACTTGTCTGCAGAAGATAAATTAAACTTTTGTTCGGAGATCTACGCTGTTCACTGCTTTCACATTTGTGGTTTCGTCTTTAGTAGTAAGGAAAGAGGGAATATTGCATTAGAAAATTATGATTTTTAGCATTTAAAATACCAAAAATGATTTGCTATTTTCAATAAAGTTTTTTATTACAATGTCAATAAAGAGATAATCTATGCACTATAATCACTGCAGCTTATTTCATGGTGTAATGAGTCATTGGATGTTGTCCTGTTTTTTTGTCTAACCATTTGAGCAGTGTGACAAAAAATGTGGTTCTCGTAACACTTTAAGCATCTCAGATGAATTATTTGCCCAACCTTCCAAACTTGTACAGCATTGATAAATTGGACTGGTTTAGCCACTTAGGAGCAGGGCTCTAGCATTGGAGACAATGTAGACAGATCTTCCAGTATATCAAAATAGGGAATGTGATACATAATTATTACAATTTGTTAATTTTTATGTAATATAAGTCTTTCTAGTCAGACTTTCCCTGTCTGCTCAATAAACATATAGTTCTTGTAGTTGGACAAATAAATGATATCAAAATAACTTTGTTTTATTTAAAGCAACACAATAGCGTTAGGAATAGTGTCCTAGTGTCTGTCTGCCATTAAGCTATTGCCCCCTCCCCTGGGTGATTAAAGGGTTTAAAAATCTAAAATCCAAAATGTAAGGAAATATGGAAGTTAGGAAAAGTTCAAAATGTAGCTAAGATGTAAATTTTCAAATCAGTTGTCAACTCACTGTTTAGAAACCCCATAGAGCCTAACATTTTCTAGAACCCTTTTCTTGCCACGTCATAAAGAAAGAATTCTCATTGCAGACTTTGGTATTAGTGAAGAGCTAGAAAAAACAAATGGTGGGTGCTGAGTCAAAATACATTAAAAGCAGACAGGCAGTCCACACTAAGATTGTCTTATAATATGATTTGTTAGCGTCTTCACGCACAGACATGTCCTGGAGGATATAGATGCATTGCCATGTAGTGTGTCAGCCATTGTCAAAGCATTATTCATAGGAAAAATACTGCCTTTTATGCATATTGAACAAGAAGTACATTTCAAATCTATCTATTGGCTTTGATATGCATTACAGAAATGGGATTTGGGTAATGCTGGCATGAAATCTGTTCTCCTCCAGTAGAAGTGTGTGCTCTATTTTGTTATCCTAAATTCAGATTTTTAAATATGAGGCTCACTGTTTTTAGCTACAAAACATAAATCCATTTCCTTTCTATTTAGTGATTTATACAACAATAACTATCATTGTCACTAGTGACTCACTGGCAGAGGATTATTTACTTAAAGGGACACTCCAGAATTCTAAATCATGTTAGCTTGCTGAAATGCTTTATGTGTAAATTTCTATAAAAATTGACACTTTTAACCTGGTTACACTCTCCTGGCTTCAAGCAGACTACCGTTCCTGTTACTTCCTGGTTTGTTAAGTTCAGTGGAGCTAAACTCAAAACGCAGCAATTGCTCAGAACACCTGCCTTGCAAAAAACTTCTCATTGAGCTGCGTTGGGAAGTCCGTGATTGGACAGCCACAGAAAATCGTTGCAGAGTTTTGCAAGCTGTTTTTACATATACCCCCAATTATAAAATGCATAATTAAATGCATGCAAGTTTTTTTTTTCATTTGTGGCATGTCTACTAAAAGGTGATTTTTATTTATTTTGTATTTGGGCAGTGGATTGTCTGTTTAAAGGGAAACTTCACGTTGTAGTATTCCCCACTTATTAAATTCACTATAATTGTATTATGATTAAATGTGGGGATATTCAATTAACACAGAATTGTGGTGAATTAAAACCAACCTGCAAAATTAGGGTCAAGCTCACTATACTAGAAATTGGTTAAAACCTCTCAGCCGATACTAGTGTTCTTGTTTTTTTTTCTATTTTTAAAGTGGCATCTCCTTGCCCTGTACTTTTAATGGAAATGTAAATAAGCAGTTTTATAAATTTCTCACAAACTCAGAAATTGCCAGGTCAAGCATAGATTGTCAGATCCATCATTAGAATATCAAAACAACATGCGTGATGGGATACTGTAAAGATGAATACACAAAAAGTTATCAAAAATAGAACTAGGGGCATGCATTTTCCATGGATGTTCAGAAGCACTTCCTTTATTCTGAATACATCTCAATGAGTTAATGTAAAGCCATTTTAGTGCTTGGATAAAATGCAGTGCACAAAGAACGTTTGATGAGTTCCCTTCATTGTCCTGTGGGACAATAACTTACTTCCTGGTTCCCACCGGAATGTTCAGTGTAACACCTGCGCTGTTCTGGAGAGTTAGCAGGTCAGCTAGAGTATAGTTTTACAATTATTGCTCTTGGTGATTTGGCAAGAAACAGGAAGAAAAGGAAATTCTAAATACTGCTCATTTAAACCTCTGTGGTTGCAAAATACATGGGAAAAAAATATGCTAATCAGCAATCACACTTAACAGGACAGTTTTACAAGGAGATTCCAAAAATCTCAAAGCTAACACATGTTTACATATATTATTATTTTCTTTTTTTTTTAAGGAGTCTGCCACCAGACGGTTTGTTCATAGTTGTGAAAGTAGATATAGTGCAAGTAAATCGCAAAACTGTATGGAAGGTGCCAGCAATTTTAAGCTGAAAAATTATCATGGAATATTGCTATATAAAACAAACAAAAAGAAAAAAAGAAGAAAGGTTTCATTTCCTGGCCTCTAATAGTCCTACTTTTGGCAGAACAGTCCAGATTTCAGGGTCCTGCCTGGAACTGAAGGCTGGGAGCAGGTCAGGCAGTCTATCAGTGAGTGCCCACCAACTATAGGCGTTTTTAGTGACATTGTCCCCTCAGGGGCTCACCCCCCCTTCCAAATTCCGCGTGTCCAGTTGTTGGGAGGTATTCTAGCATCAACCTGACAATAAGGGGTTTATCATTTAGTGAGTTAAAACCAAATTGCATAATTTAGCCTGAAAGATTCAAGCTGTCACTTAAAAGATTACTACATACACCATGAACATTTCAGTGATTAAAAGTAGTCATTGAGATGGGGGGAGTGGGGGGGTAGTAAAAGCAAAACAGCATTTTACTGTGTATGCCTGCTCCTTATGATTCACCAATTTGGTAAAAGAGACAATAGCCTTTTCTTGATTTTGTTTTTCTGAAAGGCAGTTCCAACAACATAGTAGATAACTGACATTCCTAAAAATAATGAACCAAATAAAAATTATGTTTAAGTGCTGGATTCAAAAACAATGATATCTCAAACATGGGTATAGAAATAGGTATAGACATTTTTCACCACTATCCAAACCTCACATTTGTGACACATAAGCGTATTTGCTCTGGAGGTATGAAAGGTTGAATTTTCACTTTTTACATTTAAAGTTTTGGTTTTTTTTAACCCCTTAAGGACACATGACATGTGTGACATGTCATGATTCCTTTTTATTCCAGAAGTTTGGTCCTTAAGGGGTTAATGTCCTTGTTTTTAAACTTTAAGGCTAGTATTGTATGAGTGCTTTTAATTAAACATCTCTGAGTCATGAAAAGAAAATGTTGTCCTTGTCTCTATATTCCTCTTTTATTAACAATCTATGTTGAGTTATTATGAGTAAAGTTACATTCATCCTATTTCAGCTGAGCACAGTGATTATTGGCATTATGCTGTGTCTTTCCAGCAACCAGGGCCAGACTGGGACAACATTTCAGCCAGGGAAGTTAAAGGCAGAGCAGCCCTCTAGGAGGGGCAGTGCCAGAAAGGGGGCATGTTATGTCATCACCAATGACAAGCACCCCTCCCCACCAAATGACTATGTTAGTGTAATGCCCCTCCAGAGAGCATTCAGTGCTCCTGGATGGAGAAAACGTTCTGTTTTTATCATACGCATTTGCTAGTGTCTCTGGTGTCCCCAGTAGTGGGATACAATACAACATAAGTTGTACAGACTATGTCTCACCCTCCCGAGAGCATCGGTGTATCAGAGCGTTGCCTCGGGTTAGTAACGCTCTGACAATATCTGAGCTCACAAAAGGACGGAGGCTTCCCTGCATGCTGGCAGGAGGCACTTTCCCCTGATGACCTAATCTTCCCTCCAGCCCATGAGGGGACAGGTGCTGCATTGCATGTGCCAGCAGGGGAGATATTGTGATCTCTCCTGCCAGCCTGGGCCAATGGCCATCGCGGCTCACTGTGCATTTGCCTGGTTTGCCCGATGGCCAGTCCGGGCCTGCCAGCAACCATCATTTGGTAGCTAAAGCCCAATGGCCAGGCTTCACCACAAAATATAAGCTAGCGTAGAGCAAGGCGTGGCTTTTCTGTCAGACCTTTCCAATTTTATGGAAAGCTTTTACCCGCATGGTCAGTGAATCGTGATGTGTAATGTTATTTTATCTATTAAATCAACCCACCCACTATTTTTAAAAATGAATCCAGCTATAGCAGCTTCTCTTATAACAATGTGTCTTTCTGTACAGAGGGTGCAATATTGGAATGCCATCATAAGTTTATAAAAAATTCTGTAACAGTTATATGTAATAAACATAAAGTTGTATAGAGCATAAGATATCAGCTAACCAACATATGTTATCCAACTGTACAGAGAAATCAGAAAAATGTGTTACACCCCTGTTGTGCCCCAATATACGGAAAGGTTACTTTGAAATATTTTATTCCAAATAATTTTTAATCAAAAATACAAAACAGAACATCTCCTAAACACACCTTGCTCCATAATCATTAAATTGCACTGTACTGGTCATGGTATTTAAGATTGACCCTAAAAATCATCTTTACAAACTATAAGAGGTCTTTAAGTGCTTTAAAGAATGATATAAAATATGGCATGAAAGAGCCACAATAGTGCCAAGGTCGATGGTAGCTATAAGCATAATTTTATTCAATCAAACATTTGGAATTCAGAGAGTTATCATAGAATATAAAGATGCATCTGTCTGGTTGGAAAACAAAAGAACACTCTGTGTCCTTGTCTTTTTCAACAGTCTTTATTTGAAAACCTCATTTTCTTTTTTTAATTTTTTTTATATTTTTTGCCATGCGGATGAATGCTTTTTACACAGACTGTTTTATGACTAGTCCCGACCACAATAACTTCGGATCAATGCATTCTTTACAGCTACCTACGAACTCCTAATGAAATCAGCATGTTTCACACAGTATTATAGTTATGTTTTTCATTACTCAGCCTTTCGGTTTATATTGTAGGTCAATGTACCTTGTTATGTGGGATAAAACTTATATGCACTAGGGAGTTATTTAACGTCTTCATTCGGTAAATGTGCAAAACGTTATTTAAAAAGAAATTACAGAAAAAAAAGGTATAAAATTAGAAAAGCTTGCAGGTATAGATTGGAAAGGTCTTATGAAACAATACATTTTTTGCAGGTGACATAAATATACTATTGCTTAATCAAGAAGTGGAAAGAAATAAAGAATAAAATGCTATTTACTACAACTGCATGTAACATTATAAAAATGTATGGGATAATTAAAACTAATTATTCAGTAAATAAATTATAGATCTGTCGCAAAGAACTGTCAAAAGAACATCTCTAATTCTATTTTTTTTTAAATTACTATTTATTATTTAAAAAAAATATATATGAGGAGTATTTAATATTAGATGTGCAAGGCTTTTTTTCATTTCTGGAACAGAAGAAGATTGAAATATGAAATGATAGAAGAGGAAAGGATGCTAATGACAAATAATTTGATGGAATCAGGAAATATAAGTACAGATGAACTAACTAAAGAATTAATTTACACCAATTCATGTATATGTAATTCTTGCAAAAACTCTGATCTTATGCAGAACAATATTAGCTGAGCTCCACAGTAGGTGGGGAACCTATCCCTGATGATATCATAACAATGTATACCCTAACACTATTACCCATCACCTATGGAGAAAGCAGTGCCCCAGAAGCCATACAGTTGGTTGTTATATTAAGAACGACTTGGTCAAATCTAGAGCTTCACCTGTGTTTAAGACACACCTCAAGTTTTGAAACCTGGAAGCTGAAAAATGTTTTTGCTGGCGAATGTAATGCGCATTTATACAAGAAGATACTACTATACAACATTGTGCTACAATGAAAATGTTTATTGCCATATACCATAGTAACATTGATGGTATTCCAAGTTTAGTGTTACATGTTAAGTCTATTTGCCTGTGTGAATTCGCCGGAATGAAATTTGCTTGAAAATTTTGAATTTTTCCCCGAATGTAATGTGCCGTCGAATCTAATACGCATTCAAATTTTTTAAACTTTATTTTCAAAAAAAGGTGCGTATTAGATTCAAATAAATACAGTATATAATGTGGTGTGGACCTGGAGACACTAATTGTGGGCTGTCTGCCAGTCTGGTACCTTATGTAACATAAATATTCTAAGTATAAATAAATGTGGATAGTAAAGGAATACTTCAGACCCTTAGACCTTTAGGGGTTGACTGAGTGTCCCCTCTTTCTCACTTTTAAAAATTGCCACTTTTATACAGCCACTGGGTTACACTCTAAGGGCTTTTAATCATACTGCCGAGGAGTGCTCTTTCGCACTTCTATTTTGCAGGCACAGCAATGGCTGCATAAGCACCCTGTGTGCCAATGTTTGTCTACTAAAAAAAACAGATTGACCATGAGATCATCTGCAGTGACGATCTCCCAGACACAGGGCGTAGAAAGGACGAGAGGCCTCTCATCGCTGGATTAGAGGTAAGTAACTCTCTTTTTAGGGCACTGTGGTGTTGCATTGCCAATAGTAAAAATTATGTTATAACACAGTAGCATTATATAAAAAAAAGTTTTATTTGTAAGACTAGAGTGTTCTTTAAAACTACACATCACCTCTACTAAAACACTTTAAATAATGCTCATGAATCTATTTCAGTTCCATAAGAGCAACAATAAAAACAATAAATTATAAATAGGGATCATTCTAAGTAAAACCAGCTTGGCAACCATTGTGATCAATATCATTGTGTGCATGATTTTCCTCCATTGCCTTAACAAAGACTGCTGTCTGTACAGCAAGATATAAGGTAATTGTTACAAAACGGCAATGTCCTTGGGGGAGAGTCACGTCAGAACAAACCCACATGTTTATTTCACTGAACATAAAGCTGAGCAAGACTTTCTACGCTTCAATCCTAAACATCAAAGGGAAATCTTGAACTTCTCTGACTCGATAATAGCTGTGCATTGAATGCAGACTTTCTGTACAACAAAGAGATAATGATTTTCTAGCTGAACCTGAAATCGGAAACATTAGCTTTTAAAGAGAAAAAAATGTTTTCCTTTGTCCCTGACAAGAGGTATGATTTGGTATAGCATTATGTTTCTGTTTGTACCATTAGTAAATAACATTTGTTGTTCATCAACTTAATGAGAGCTTAAAATAAAAACCATGAACGTCTGTTGTCATCCTATAAATCTATATACATCTTATTCATTCTGATACAAGTCAATGCCAATGTTATAAAAATATATATTAAACTGGCAGACAAGTGCCAACTGGCTCATTTTCCTGTTCCTCACTTAAAAAAAGACAAGGCTTAAGGTTACATACGTTTAATTTGCAGAAGAGGATGCCTTCTTCAAGGGTGTAAAATTTTAAAATTAGTGTAGGACCCAACAATATTATGGTACTGTGGAGCAGTGGTGGGCCCTATCGTGGAACCGAATCCCCATATTTGTTTGCTGAGATAGGTGACTTTAAGTAAAAGTAAAACTGTATTTTTGTGTGTGTCACTGCCGTAATCTGTACTTCTTTTAGGGAGTGATTACAGAAGAAAGCAGCACAGACTGTATCGGTCAGCCATAAAGAAGCTGTTGAGATATTGCAACATGGACCAATTACTGATTATGAACATGTACAAAGTCATTTTGATGCAACAGCCAAAAGAAGAAGCAAATAGCCAGCTAGTTCTAATCTTACTAGTCAGTAAGACTATTTAAATCATGCTTTTAAAACATAACGACTCATTCTTTTGCTTTTTATAATCTGTAATATTTACCACCAGATTAATATTTAATATTTAGAACAATAACTTTTCAGATTAATTTACCAGAACAGATTATTTTGACAGTTATAACTGATTTTTGTATATATCATTAGAAACAGGTTAATCACTCGTTTGGAGATCAATTTAAACTAAAAGTGTTATTATTATTATTGCCATTTCTATAGAACCAACAGATTCCATAGCGCTTAAAAATATTATAAGAGGGGGGATTTAACTATAAATAGGACAATTACAAAAAACGGGAACGATAGGTTGTAGAGGATTGTATGTACATAGATTTGTAGAATGATAATGGGATAAAGGTCTGAACTTTGCATGTTTTTTATATAACATTTGTGCTGTTATAAAGTGCATGTTATCTCTGCAGACACACATTCGATTAACTTCAATTAATCAAATGCATTTACCATAAATGTAAATATTGCATGAATATACAACCTCAAGCTTCATAACAAAAGCATATTTCATGCTAAATAACCTGTGGACTATAATGTATCATAAAGGGTTACTCCAACCAAAAATCTGTTTTTATAAATCACTGTTTTTCTTTTTAAAGTAACCCCTCTTGTGGTAGTTTGCCCTCCCAGATGCAAATAAAATGAAGGAAAAAAGCTTAAATTTACCTCTTTTCCATCGCTGAGGTCTTGGCTGATATCATTCTCCCCTACTGATGGGCAGACAAAGTGGGAGGCAGCAAAGGAGAGTACAGGATTGGCACTGAAGGGGAGTTGTGCGCCAACATTGGCTGCCTGGATCCAGCATGCTGTGCATCCTGGCAACAGATACCAATTTTGCACAGGATTGATAATAGCCAGCCCGGAACGTTTTGTTCTGGGCTGGCTAATGACATCCCACTGATGCGGCTGGAGGTTGTATTACACATCCGGCAGCAGAGGGTTAATCTCCGTATGTGCGGCTTTGCATAGTAAAATGTTGCACATACAGACTCCAGGTACCATCACCACTTCAAATCACTCATGGTGGTCATGGTGTTTGGAGTAACCCTTTAAACATATTTTTAGGAAAAAATGAGCATACTGTGGAAATAAACAAGAACTGATTTGTGTTTAAAGACATGGCGTAATAATTATTCTGGCTTCAACTTCCAGGTTCCATGCAGATGGTGAGGAATGAGTTGTTGTGCCTTTTATCAATCCCCATTAACTATATAATGATGTAAGTTATCCAGACATTACTTTACTATAATAGTTAATTTGAGCCAGTCACACTGTTAGAATCAAACACATATGTAGTGTTCATTTCTAGGTATTCATAGTAAATATGTCAAAGACACAATATGGCAAATAATCGCGTGATGGTCAGGTTGTATCCAAAGTCTAGTTTAAAGGAAAATGGTCAACATGTAAAAAATAAAATCATCTAACTAAATGATTTTATATGCATTGCATAAGTAGGTGTACTAGAGATTATACACGCCCCTCATCACAAACTAATTCAGAAAATTTACATTAATCTGGCCACATGGAAGCGCTAATAATGTGCTCTCTTGTGCAATAACATCACATCTATGCACCACACACATGAGCCCATATTAATAGTTCAACACCTAAGGGTTCTGAACACATCCCAACATAAGGTACACTTTCCACAGTCAGCTTCCGTTAGTATTGTTTATCCCAGTTTATTAATTTAAAAGTTAAGTATATATATAACACAACACAACACAACTATTTATATACCTAGATGACATATTCTACATAATAAACACAATTACTTAATTAATAAATACTGAACACAATTAGCTTTTTTTAAAGATTGGAAATATATATATTACCCATCTTAAAAAAAAAAAGTCAGGGGAACAGATTGAAAAATCTCCATTGTACTGAACTGAATAAAAATCGTCTTGGGAAATGAATTTACTTCCAATTAAATCATTTTATTACAATTCAGCTGGCAATTTTGGTGTGAACTAAAGTTAGAAGGGTGTATGGATACGGGTGCAATTCACCTGTAAGAAGGGAATTATATTGAACAAATGAAAGTGATCCAGATGTCATGTGGTTGCGATCCCTTTGTTGCTTTGGATGATTTTATCATCTAACTAAAGGGCAGCCGAATGATGCAAACACTGCTGATAAAACCAAAATTGTAATTTGTGAATAGGCTCGTGGGTCCGGCATAATGAGTTTTCATTTGAACCTGTAAAGTATGACTAACCAAACACCATTCAACTGTTGTTCCTCACTTAGTCAATAGAACTCAGTGTGTCAGTTGTCAAAGTTCTATATATAGGTTTCCATAGAAACAGTTTGCATTCATACTTTTAAAATTAAGATCATGGGCAGAGGATCAAAGAAAACTATTTAATGGACAAACTCACTGAGATAATGCATAACATCACAAAGTCCTTTGAGAAAGTATGGGCTCCCAGGACAGACTTGGGGGACTAAGAGGACCTAGTTGAGAGGGGCGAGTGGCGGTCTCGCAGCAGACCACTGGTACCTGGGGTGCGGGCTCCTGAGGGGGTCAGAATACCAGCAATTGAACCACACTGATGTGGCCGAAGTTGTTTATGTTTTTCTATAACTTTTTTTTTTTTAATTGTTCTATTAAACAAAAAGGGCAGGCAAGTGGGGACCTAACGTGTGGGTGTATAGATTACATTGTCACGGATTATCACTGGTATAACTGTTAATTGTCTTTTCTCTAAAAGCATGGGCGCTACAATTGTGCAATGGTAACACGTTAATGCTTCTGTTAACTCTTGTACACTGAAAAAGTCTGTTAACTCCTGTATACTGAAAAAGTATTCTATAAGCTTATCCTGTTACTTTTGACTGTCCAAAAATAAAGAATTAAAAAAAATTAAATAAAAAAAAGATTATAAATTAAAATTTTCGATGAAGCTGACAAACCCTAAATACAGCTGTTTCAAAAGATTATGGGGTTTGTTCACTAAGCTGGAATTTTAGTGAAATAAAGTGTGAATGGCAAACAACAGGCCAAAAGAGCTGTTTCTGCCTATCTTTTGCAATTCACATTTCTATAACATAAAAGTATGGTCTCAAAAGTACTGGTATGTATTATTTACAGATTAGAAAAGCAGATTTAAAAAAACAATCTGCTTTAAACACAGAAACGATGTGAATGGTAATTTTATCACACACCCAGATATCTGTGAGACATCCAATCTACATTAAAAAAAATGTGCCTCTAGTGGTTCCGAATAATTGAACTGAAGAGTAGCGCTAACGTGAAATGTCTGTCTTGTTAAATTATATGAATTTATTAATAATACTTGAACAGGTTCCTTTTTGTGAGAACAGTTGTGCAGGATGCTTTACATAATTGAATTCATTGCTCCGGTGTAATTCAATCGTCATACAGTATTCATATGAAAGTGATGACTCCAAGGCATATTTGATGGAATTTAATCCATTCTGGCAGGTGAACATTTTCATCAAGAGGATAATTATTGAAGAGGTCAAGAGGTGTTTACAGTAACACAAGGGAGATGACTGGACGCTAGCCAATTAAAAACAGACTACATATATATACCGTGCAATGGCATGATTAAAAAAAGCACAACAAAGAAATTATTTATTACATTCTTTATTCCCTGGGCTGTTTTCACTTGTGGCATGTTTATTTTTCAGTTATTATATTAGGACTATATATTTACAGCTCATAAAGCCAGCCCACGCATGATGCACATAGATTTTTACTAGGGTCTTGACAGTGACCTGTGAGAGAAGAACTACTCTATAGGCCTCCTGAGCAATGCAGAGGGGAAGGCGTTACATAAGGTCCAAAATAGAGACTTTTCCTTTTTTGGCATTTTTCCCAGATTAAAAAAAACAAAAAAAAAACAGACCACTAGAATATCCTTAATGGACCATTAAAATATTCATGGATTTCTGACCATGGTCCTTGGCAGACAGTTTTTTTAAAATGAGAACAAAAAAAGTGAAACTCCAAAAGGTTTTATCAGAAAGCAGTATTGGAGTGGGTTTGCAGCTTTATATATTACATTTGGTTAATTCTGAGGATTATGCTGTTAATTAGTGTAACCGAAAGAAAACCTCACACTAGTCTCTGTGAGTGCATAACTGACATCATCACAATCGGTGGCGCCATCACACGTGATAATGTTAATGTTGGTGTGATGACACTTGCTGTTGCCATTGTTAAGTCTCATTAATGAGATTATGCATAGACGCCATGGTGATGAATGATACAACAGAATGGTAATGAAAGTAATGAAAAGGCTGATTATTGAGATTGGGGGAAAAACAGATCCACACACATTATATGTGTGTGTGTTTTTTTTACTCCAGTCCAATGTATGGCAAAGCCACACCATCACATAACGTTGCTAAGAACCTTTAAATGAAAGCATCGTGTGGTTTCTAATCAAACCAGCATCTTTATTATAATGACAGCATTTACACATATGCCAGGTAACATACGTGATTTGTGTTTTTCCTTTGATCACATGCTGTCAGGATTCTAATTAGAGGTGCTTAGTCAAAATTATCTGAAGCTTCCTACATCAAAGTGATCCCTCACTAAACTCTTTACTAGAAAAAGAAAAATAATCCAAGCTTCCTTTTTTTATGTAAGATTTTGTCTGAAAAGTAAAAGCAGATGTACCATGGCCAAGTGCTGCCTAATAATACAATGTCTAAACTTACAAATGAAAATCCTTTCAAGAATACAGTTGATGAAAGTAACAATCCTTAGAAGAAACCACATTCTAAATCAGAGAATTGTTTATTTTACATTCATATGAATTTAGGGGAGTGCCTTAAAACCTTGCGCATGTTATTATGTGATCCAGGAAATACAGACTGGCTTAAGCAAAATCAGATCTATATGTAGATAACAAAATAATAGATTCTACTTAGATAGACAAATAAATTGTGCAAGCAAGAAAACATCTAATAATTCCAAGTAGCTAAAGTCTAAAACCAATATGGAGAGCAGTAAAGGCCCAAGTGAGGCTGGACTCCTTCATATAGCAGTAACCTGGGTGATGTGTGCAGTCAGATGCCCTCATCCAGGGATGTCAATATAAACATGGGATAAGGCATTCCCCTTAATTTTGCACTTTAGCGCTCCACTATAGGTACAAGTATATCTTGTACCACTAGAAGGTGTATATTACTATGTTGTGTAGGAAAGAGGGTATCCCACACTAGTGTGTACAGCTGCTATTTTTATATGTAAAACACTTTTTTTTATATAACACACTTTCTTCGTAGAGGAGTTTTTTTCTGGTTATACATCTCCCATAATGCTTTTACAGATTTATTGCTGGCAAAGTATTAGAGGAGATGTAGTCCACAACATCTTAAGTTCCAAAGGATGCTTACCCCTGACCTAATCCTTTAAAGGGATATGTCTCACTTTGAATGAGGCACTTTCCTCACTCTGCAGGCTGAAAATATTTATTTATTTACTTCTTTTTAATACTTACCTGCTTCTTCTTTCTGACGCTCTTCACACCCACTCCAGGTGGACCACTGATCTAACCAATCAGTGTCCTATCCCTAGGAATGCAGAAAAAGTGGATTGGGCATGCCTGACAGATTTACATATGTGCAGTTGGAAGTTCTCATCAACTTTGGTGTCACATTTCTCTCTTCTGTTGCTGCACAACAATGCCCTGTTTCTGTCATTAGTGGACTGGTCTGAAACTGAGATGGGTGGATAACATACAGTGGGGAGGCTAAAAAAAACTCTTCTGGCTGAGACATGTTCCCACCAATGCAATCTGAACAAATTTATGGTAAGTTTATAAATGTTTATTACTTTTTTTAAATGTCCTTTCTTTTTGTCTGTATATTTGTTTAAAAGTGTTAGCTTCCTGGTTTAAAAAATAAAATGTCAAGTGATGCATGCCTCTCTAATATGAGCTGTATATCCACATATACAGCTTAAGCTCATAAGAAATACTCAACCAAATCCTTCCAAGAACAGTTTGGGCACCATAATAATCAAAATGGTGCCTGAAGGTCCCTGGCGCTGCCTCACCTTAAGAGGTTAAACTGTTCTTGAATGGTTTAACCCCAAATTATGAGTTTCAGTGCTGAATCTCCCTGCACCTCTCCCATTTATGAAACTGGCCTGAAAAGGGTATGTTTTTTTTCCAAGCCAGTTTTATGAATGGGGGTCCTTGATTGGCAGACAGCGTCAGTAATGTTAACATCCTATTCTATTCCACATCCACCAAACGATGGGCCTTAATGTTAAAGACAACTATGTGTTCAAAAACACTTCCATGATGCTTGCTTTGTGTTCCTACTAGAATTCCATGTCATTCTCTATAATCCGCTAATAAACAGATATTCTTTTTAAAGATGAATTATAACTGATTTATCACAAGGTTAACAACTGAAATAATTTAAAACTAAATTTTTTGTTGTTGTTAATATTTCTGGATTTCACTTTCCCGAGACTGGGTGTATGTTTTGATAAAATTCATGAAAAAGGTGACACTGTTTCAGAAGTAATTGAATTTTCATGAATTACTCACCTCTACATGTTGACAGGTCTGAATAAGCTTGGCCAACAGCATTTCCATTTCTGTGTTTCTCTTGATGAGACTTGCTAGGTTGCTTTCGAGGCTTTGCTGTAAAGATAAAAGCAAAACAACGTTTTTTTGACCTGCTGGAATGACGACAGATAATTTGCACTGGATGCGTAAAATGCATGAATAAAGTAAGAATGTATGACTAAAAGAATAGCTCTGTCGTATCTAAGCGATTTTCCTTATTTTTCCTTCAGAGTCTTTTTGAACATGAGAATTGTTATAAACTCCTTTACTCTACTCGAATTATAAAATTTTCCCTGAAGACTACTCGATGTATCTACTACCCATTCTTTCTGCATCATCACAATTCTTTTTAGTCTTTTAACCTCTAACTTTGAATCATGTTTCCTACCAAAGAGTAAGCCCCACTTGGTAAAAAGGTCTATAGCACTGGTGCCCAAAAGGTAGATCGCCAGATAAAACTACATCTTCCATTATGCTTTGTCATTCTAAAGGCATACAAAGCATCATGTGAGTGGTGGTTCTATAACATCTAGGGACCTACCTTTTGGACACCACTGATCTATAGGGTTTCGGAATAACAACTGAGAAGGGGAACAATACAACCCTCTCTTTTTTAAAATATTAATAAGTATTTTAAAATAGTGTTTAAATAGTAGTTTAAATTTAAATTGGAAGCCACAACTGAGAGTAAACATATGAAAATTATTTAGAAATAAAGTGGTAAAGGAATTACGTGAGGGAGTAGTAAAAACAATAACCATATTCTCTTTTGATTGAAAATGATTCCATCTCGAAGTTAAAGAGGCAGTAATCCTGTTTATACCTTTATACAATGCTACGTGATCACTTGTATGATGTATTTATAACATCATTCTAAATGTTATTATTTATTTTCATTATATATATATATATATATATATATATATTATGTCATTATAAGTGTATTTTAATATTAATATATATATATATATATATATAGATAGATAGATCGATAGATAGATAGAATTTATATTAAAATACACTTTTAATAATAGTGTGCTAATAATGTGTGTTTGTGTGCATGTAATAGTACTTAGATCATATATATATATATATATATATATATATATGATCTAAGTACTTTTTATGTACTTTATAAACTTTTATTTAACTTTTACTAACTTTTGAAAACTTTTTTTTCAGGCACATGGGGGACTGCCTGAGAGCTCAGACAGGCCCCCTGCAGGCACTGCACAAGCCAGCTAATCTGCAGGGTCCTTGCAATCACATTGCTCGGGAGGGCCGAATCGGGCAATCGGGCAGTGATCAGGTAAGTGCTGATTTACTAAACGACGTACCAGTTACCTCCGTGGTCGTTAACAACCGTTTTATATACCTAGTATGTCACCGGTCAGGAGGGTTAAAAAGCCACTGTCTCTTTTGTATCATATGCCTGTACTGTTTTGTATAAAAATGTAAAAAAAAATAAAAATACATCCATGAAAAATAAAAAACTGTTTATACCAAGATATATGAAATACTCAACTGCAGGGCACTACCATGCTTCAGTGGCATACATAGAGACTGTCCTAGTTAGTGATAGTGATCCATCCATTGTACAGTGTAATGGAATTTGCTGGTGTTATATAAATAATAAAATAATAATAATACCAACTGGTAGTAAGACTTTTTTTTTTTATTTTTTTTTATAAGGCGCTAATAGAGGGAACGTAGGCCCCTGTACACGTCACAGCAAATGACAACACTCCTTTGGGATAAAAATGAGATCATGTCACTATATGACCACCGATTTGGTGAGAGCAATCACTGATTGGCTGGGATGTGTTATGATGCTATCAGCGCAGTGATAGGGTATGAGTAACTGTAAACATACTTCCTTTTGCATCACTCAGGCAGCAAAATATTGTATAGTACCTTTAATATAAATTATTTGTTTTCTATCATGTAACTTCTTCTCTACATTTGCTTCATGGTATACATTTTAAAGTGATGGCGCCTTTCCAGGAATGTCAAAATGTTAAAATAAATACTTGGTACATTTCCGATATAAAAAAAGTTGTATTTTGGTTCAAACTGATTAAAAATAAGTTGAAAATATTTAAGAGAGTTGCATATGTGTAACTGTAACAAATTTAAAAAGCAGGTAACCATTATGTATTATCTTACAAATTAGAAAGTTACAACAGTGGTAACAATAAGACTGTAAACAGGTCACTAGGGAATACAGATAAGTACATATCATTCAAAGCTGATGGGCAATCATTTATGGACTGATTAACCAGTAAAACAATGGATCCATGAGATAACAACTGGAAGAAATGAGATCACAATGTGAAAATAAGATAAAGATGAGATTGTAGCAGATACAGGCTTGAAAAACATTATGGGGGATTAATCAAGTCAAGCGCGTGTGCTATTCTTGAACAAAGTGCTGACTATGGAGCAATCACAATGGATACTAATAGAATGTTTCTCAACATTTAGCAGTTTGCACTCAAAATAGTATCAGTTTGCATTACTAAATCTTCCTCCCAACATTTCTTTTCTACCAGCATTGTTCGTAAATTTCACTAACATACAAGATCCAGTGCACCCTCTCATCTCAACAGAAACTTCAAAGATCACAGAATTTAACAGTATCTGACTTTGGCAAAAGTTGAGTGAACTGTATTTATTAGGTATGTACATGGTAAAATGGATGGTTTGAAATCTGCACCATTTAAGTAATTAAACCATTTTAAAACGATATGATTTATTGCCTGCAGCTCAAGCCAAGCACAGCCCTGGCCAATCAGTATCTCCTTAAAGATATGCATTGAATCAATGCATCTCTATGAGGAAAGTTCAGTGTCTCCATGTAGAGGGTGGAGACACTGAATGGCAGTGCTGCACACTGTGTAGCACTGCCCCGGGAAGCACCTCTGGCAGCCATCCGAGGAGTGGCAGGTGGAGGTATCCCTAGGGTGTAATGTAAACACTGCCTTTTCTCTGAAAAAAACCAGTGTTTACTGCAAAAAGTCTACAGGAACTGATTATAATCACCAGAACAAATACAATAAGCTGTAGTTGTTCTGGTGACTATAGTGCCCCTTTAATAATCTTTATAGTAAAATAGAGGTGTTGAAGTTTTCAGAATATACAATATTATAAATTCTATAAAATAAAATTGAAAAAAGAGAGGGAAATACATTCTTTATATACTAAACTTTAAATGCTGTATTCAAAGGTGTAAATATATGTATTCATTGATCACACTGATATACATAGTAGTTGCTGTGTCTCCCCATATAGGTGGAGAGAACGCTATGGTTTTACAACGACACTACCAAAATTGTGGGTGAAGGATACATCTTTGCAGTAGGGCAAAATCTGTAGCTTCTATAGTTGGCATTGTAGCTAGTGTTATGACCTATTAGACCTCCCCTGGGTAATATTTCAAAACCCCAGCTGTAGGCCTATTGCAAAAAAAAGAAAAAACCCTTTCTATTATCACTTTTCTTTAAACAAGATAACAAGCCTACAACACATTTGCAGAATATACAATGTGCAACCTGTGAAGCCACTTGTCTGTGTAGATGCACAGTCCCATTTATCTATTTACAATTGGATAAGTGACAGAATGGCCTGTATCTTGTGGTGCAGAATGATGTTGTCATAATAAGGAGTAATGGCAAGGAATGAAATGAATTCTAGCAATGTGTTTTTACTCCGTGGCCTACTGTGAGTGATACAGTTAGCAGTTATTTTGACTTGCTATTGAATAGGAAAAATGGCAGCTGCCGACAGTAATGGGAGCACCTGCGAGAGGTTGGGGGTCACTGTCACATAACCATGACTCTAAATTAGAATCTTCAAACAGTGCGTTGAAGACATTTGTTCTAGTCATGGCAATGGACTTACCTCTAGATAAAGCCAGTGAGCTGCTTTGTAGAAATTATCTGAGATTATCATGACTATTGATTCAGTATCAACAGACTTGTATAAATGTAATTAAAGTTAAAAAATAATACATTACAATATGGCATTCACTATGTTAATTTATAGTGCTATCAGCTGCTGTAACACTCATGTAAATCCTAACACACAAAAAAAGAAATAAATATCAGCGTTGATAATATATTCAAGAGCAGTTTATTAAAATAAAAATTGCCAAACTAAAAGACTACAATACAAGAGTCATATCCTGTAACATGTATGGACTGAACGAATGTTCCACAATTTTCTCCCAGAGTTGGGATTTTTCAATCAATTAGTTGTACAGTACAGATTTTTAAATGAACATGCTGGCACCATAAACTGTCTCAATAAACTTGTAATGGTGCCTGGACGGCCTCGGCGACAACTTTCCTTAAGGAGTTAAACCATTTATGCCTCAGTTGTGCGCCTTTAGGAAACCTCATACTAGGCATCATGAGTGGCTGGAAGCATCAGCTGACACTCTCAACCTATAATTGGCTATGTATTGAGAAAAATGCTTGAGAAAGGTAGAGCCGTGTGGTTAAACCATAAACCCTGGGACATTGCTAAGATCAAAACAGACCCAGGGTTTGAGCCTATAACTTGGTGACCCCTTCCTAAAAATTCTACTTCCTAACACCTGCAAGATATGCCTTTTTAAACATCCACAGATGCATACATAAAGACACACACTCGTACATACATAGATAGGTACACACTATGTTAACTACATAGAGACACAACACTCACATAAAGCCATAATTGCACAAACACACAAGCATACACAGGCATAGACATACACACACAGGCACACTGAAGTATACACATGTGCACACAAACACACGCAGTCATGTACTGATACAGAAACACACATTCACAGATTGACACACACAAAAGCGCACAAAGACGCACGTACACAGACACATTGACTATACAAAAAATATAGCTTTAACTCTGTAATATAGAACCGCAAATTTGTAGAACTGCATTATTTAAATTCCTGGGTCAAAAATACCTATAGAACGGTCTTCCACACAGCCACAAGAGGTGCTTCCACATTGAGAACTGAGTCAAACTTATAGAGCAGCATTCGATAGGTACAGCGCAACAATTTGATGTGCAGGCACACTAGCTCCCTCCTCCCCCTCCGCCCCCCCACTTCTTTACGATGGAGAATCAATGGATTGGCTGAGATCATCAAGATTGATAATCTCAGCCAAGAGGCGGGAACCTACAGAGAGGAGAGAAGCAATTGTATTCCCAACACTACAGTATTCCTTTAACTCGAACCAATACATAAAGATAGAAGCATGATCATGGGAACCATGCAACACTAAAACTGGCTAAATGATGGCTTTTGTTACAATCCTGGAGCATTATCTAGTTCCACAATGATGGTGATCTACTTTAAACTCTAGATATCATAGTTCATTCTTAATTTAAGTGAAGAGAAGGATATTCCAAAATGTATTTTATTATATAAATATCAGCATCTGTTTAACTTTTATTACATAAGTATCAGCAACCTTTTAACTGGAAATACAGGATTTAACAATGTAAGACGCCTTTGTCCTTATAAAGAAGTGTTTGCCAGGTTTAAATGCACAAGGGCGGATAAACTCTCTAAGTTAGCCAAGATTTGCATTTTACCTATTTGTATGCATTCTACATGATGTGCTAATGGTGAACATTTTTTTTTTTTAAAAGAATGACGTCTAAGATGAGGGAGATGCGAACACAATAAAAATGTGGAGTTCCATTTTCTTGCCTTGAAAACAAAAACAAAAAAAACACATTAAAAGTTTAATGTTTCAAAAGTAGACAAATAAATTGAAGAGATCTGTGAAAATGTAGCCATCCTCTGGACAGAAAACTGAAAGGGGATTGAAGAGGCCTTTCCGTTTCTCTACCTTGCATCAGTAACTTTACTCAAGGGCTTTAGTTTCAAGCACACAGGAGCCCTTGTTGGAGTTCATGTGTGAAAATAATGATGTCCTGTTAGTTACCTGTGGAATGGCTTGCTCTTCACAAAGAATCCTTAAAATCTTTCATCCTTCTTGGCACAATGTATCTGAATTTCAATGAAAGCCAGTAGGGAAATAGTTGCCTGTGCTGTAGTTGCAAGTAAACTGTGTTTTAACTCTTCCTTTGACAACATAATTTAAGGAATTAATGCAAACCTTTGCCATTCTAGCTTTTACATTTCCCATGATGCTCAGCCAGCTATTTGATTATCACAAGAAACATAAGCTCCCATCAAAGGGATTACTAAGGTGATCGAGGACTGATTTTGAGCCATATTAAGCAAGTCTGGAACAAATATGGAAATTTTGGTACAATGTTATATGTGGACCATATAAAAAAACAAATATGGTAGGGGTGCAAGACAACTGGCCAGGAGCAGTCAGCGTTCAAAATTATGCATAGCAACAACTAAGCATGCTCACCTACAGTCAAAGGAAATTGCATCATCATAGTCGGCCAATGAAAACGCAGCAATGGCAGGTCCCCATTATGTGAGACCTGGTGACAGGTCTCGTTTTCAACTTTATAGCTTGGCGCTGTGTGTGAAGGATGAGAGGTGGGGACTGGAGGTGAGTTCACGTGCTTTGCTCTCTCACAGAGCCGCCCGTATGAATGGTGAGCAGGTGAGCTGTAGCATGGTACAGAAAGCAGACAACTTCCAGATAGGCTGCTTGGGGAAGCAGTGTCATTGTAAAATGGGAGTTGTGAAGAGAAACGTGGGGGAATTTTGAACATGGCATATGGGAAAGAAACATGAAAACTGGATGAGTCTGAAGAGGATAGTGAAGGAAAAGTTCAATTAACAGGAGAGGAGATAAAATGTTCTACAGTAAACACAATGTGTTGTAACATCAGTTTGAAAATGATCAATTTTTCATAGAGGCTATGTGAGTCACAATCAGAGGAGGTGTAGCTAGGGCTGCATAAACAGAAACCAAAATTGTTTAACTCTATGAAGAGATGCTAATTAGTCATAGGTAATAGCCTCCCAACACTTTCCTATGTTATAAGTAGGAAAAAGAATTATTTGTGTAGGTTTAACTTTAGGTATGACAAAACAAGGCAGAATACGCATAAATAGCAGACACTTTTGACACCTTTTTTACTTAGTGTGTAACAGATACCTATGGCATCACTATGCATATTAGTAGTTAGTAGCACTAGTATTTATATATACTATATTTAAAAATACATATTCCGCAGCAGTTCACAATTAGAGAAAGTGGTGTGAAAGGCCCTGCTCAAACGACCTTACGATCTACGCATATGGAGAATCACATTACCATCAGCCACCTCATGGGGTCTTTCATACTCCATTATTTTGAATACACAGTAGCAATGCCAAGGTGACAATGACAGCACCATAAATAATAACAGAGGAGGATGTACATCTGCTTATTCTTTAAAAAATCATATACCCCAATACTGCTTACTTGGATGACTACAAAAATCTGACAGTTCCTATTTATATCTTATGTGTTAAAGCGGCACTGTCATGCCAAACTTACCTTTCTTTAAAGGGACACTATAGTCACCAGTACAACTACAGATTAATAGCTCCCTTCAGGCATTTTCATGTAAACACTGCCGTTTTAGAGAAAAGGCATTGTTTACATTGCCTGTAGGGACACCTCCAAGTGGTCACTCCTTAGATGGCCACTGGAGAGGCTTCCTGGCTCAGGGCTGCACAGTAAGCAGCCCTGATGTTCAGCATCCCCATGCTCTGCATGGAGACACTAAATTTTCCTCATGGAGATGCATTTATTCGGACTTGGACTCATGCGGCGCTGGAAATAAGGTGAGTTTTAGACTTTTATAGGGGGGTGAGGGGGAGCAAGCCACCTAAATAGTGGGTTTCGCGAGAACAAGGAGGAAAAGTGAGAATTGTGGGAAAATTTCTCTTACCACAGGAAACGGAGCACACATTAAAAGGATCACTATAGGGTCAGGAACACAAACATGTATTCCTGACCCTATAGTGATCCTTTAACGTGTGCTCCGTTTCCTGTGGTAAGAGAAATTTTCCCACAATTCTCACTTTTCCTCCTTGTTCTCGCGATGCCTCCTTTCCATATTCCTGAACATCCTGTTATTTAGACAGAACTGCGGCAATACTTCCAATTTTCATCCTAACAGAATGAGAGCAGTTTGTCCATTCGTGTTAGGATGAAATTCTGGACTTTTGGTTGGATATATGGACTTTTGGTTGTGCATGTGACTTGTATAGCCTTCCTAAACTCTTCCTGTAAAGAGAGATCATGTTTAAACGTCCTTTATTGCACAGTCTGCTTAATTTATAATTTCTTATCTTCTCCTCTGTTAATAGCCCTCTAGATATTGCATGAGTCTCCTGTCTGTGATTAAAGTTCAATATACAGAGCAGGAGACACAACATCTGATTAAAAATGAAACATTTTTTCATGCAGACTGAATGAAACCTTTTTTCATAGAGCTGTTTTGATGTCTATAGTGTCCCTTTAAGTTTGAATTCAATGTGAATTCTCAATATAGTGAATAATAACGCTGTAAGGCATCTCAAACTCACAATAAATCACCTTACTGGACTACAACTCTCGTGATACTTTTTCTATCTATTCCATTTACAGAATTCTGGGAATTCTAGGCCATCAATGTCTGCTGATCCAGAGTCTGAGATCCCTGTTTTAGATTATCACATAACCAAGATGAATACTATGCTGTTGTTTCTTATTTCAGATCAGTTTATTTAACTTTAAGCAGATCATCTTTACATAATTTCTTCTTCTCTTGTTTTTGGTTTCCCAGTGAGGAAGCACTGAATGGAAAATAATAACTTTAATTGCCTTCAAGTATGCAAAAAGACTTAAACTATATTTGCTCTTAGCATTAAATATGTACTTTGTCTTTAATGACTCTGGATCAGCATAGCTCTGATCTGTCATTCTTTAGTATTTTAAACATGTCTACCAAAAAAAGAAAAAAAAGAAAAAGAAAGAAAGAAAACAACATCTGCGTCCAACAGAGATGATATTCTGTGTACAGAAAGGATTATAAAAAGTAAATGAAACTCTTCAAGCTAACACAGATTATTGCACGAAAGAGTGGCATACCACGGCTTAAACTATGAGCAATGCAAGCACACTCCAAATAGCTTAAAATATGATTTCTCTTCATCATCAAACAGAAACAGAAGGCAGCATTCGGATGATATGAGCAGATTACCAACTTGGTCCATTTTGCATCTATGCCCCTTTCTAGAGAGGTACAAATTTCACATAAACATTCTTGTATTCTTGCCCCATACAGTTTCCCTTTAATAACTCTGTTATCATGTTACATAATTTGTGACGACTAGAGCATAATGTCAATGAAACAACACGGCACAATGTATTAATATTGCATGCTATCCACTTCAATGTGTCCGATGAGCATAAAAAGGTCTTAAAAGATTGCCGTTGAAATTAAATCACAGTTCATTTACACAGCAGTCTATTTCTTTTTGCCGTTTCTCCTTGGCATTCCTCTCTTTACACATCCCTAGTGGTATACAAAAATGTCTAAAAATATTACATTTAATTCCACCACTAACTTTTAGATTTTTTTTACTATCAATAGGGAAGGAGTTTTACTTTGCACCTAAAGAGGCACTACACATACTATAACCACTACAGAGCATTGAAGGCAGCAGTGATGGTGCTGTAAACCCCTGGTTGGTGTCCCTCAGTATTTAGTCAAAGTATTTTGACTAAGAAGATAGCCCTTCCTTTCACTTTTAACCTGCCCCATTCTTCAGCCTCACTGACAATGCAGAAACTCTGTTTAGGCGCAAGAACAAAGTGAGAGCATTTGGGTTGGTTAGCCACCACTTTCAATCTCTTTTTATATCCACTACAGCCCACTTTAACCTCTAGCAGGAACATTAAATATTTCAGTATGTACAACATTTCAAACTAAAATACTGCACGTACAGATTTCAAGCACCATGAACACTTCCAAACACTGTAGTGGTCATGGTGCATGGAGTAACCATTTTTGTAAACAACAGAGCTCAATAGCAATAAAACTCACGTAATGTGTGACGTTATTACAAGTTTGGTGTGTAAGAGTGTACAATAGAGCTTCGCAGCAATAAAACTCACAGCAATGTGTGGTGTGCATGAGTGTATCACAGAGCTGCACAGCAATAAAAATCACTTTAATATTCGATGTGCATGAGTATGTAATAAGAGTTTCATAGCAATGGTGTGTAGGATTGTACCACAGAGCTCCACAACTTTAAAATTCACAGTAAAGCATGGTATGCTCCACATCCATACACTGAACGTAGTCTTTGTCTAAATTGCCTTTACAGTTACATAAATGGCTTTTAATAATTTATGAAGTTTCCTAAAATGGGCAAAAAAAAAGTGTCAAGAGAGTGCTGAGAACGAACAACAGCTCAATTAGCCCCCCCTTCGGTAGGTCCCCGCTCAGTTCTCCAGCTGGTTTTATCTCAACTTGTGCCATTACAGAGAGAACATCTCTGAAACATATCAGACTGGTCCCACCCAGAAGGGCAGAACAGGTACGAAATACAGGCTGGCTCTCTCTGCATTAGAGATAAAGCAGCCCCTTGTTCCGTATATGCCTGCTGCTGGTAACACCTCCAGCCACAAGACACAACAAGTATCCTTTTTGGATATTTCAAATGTTGGTAGATATTACCAAAAATTCTTAGAAAGGGTTACTCTAAGCAAAAATTGTGTTTTAACATTAGGTGTGGTTAAACTAACACTTCACAGCTTGGCTGATATCACTCCCCCTCTTGGAGGGATAGGAAGATCAGGGAGGGTGAGCTGAGGGGAGGAAATGGTGGGAATGGAATGGTATGCATTACAAATTTGCACAGAATTGTCAGAGATGGGGTTACACCATTGGCAGCAGAGGGGTTAATCTTCATATGTGCAGCATTTCATTAGGAAATGATGCACATACACATTGTAGGCACTGAAGTGGTCATGGTGCTTGGATTAACCCTTTAATGCAAATCAATATCCTGCAATTACTAGAGTTGTGATGTCATACCAGAAAACGATGAGCAATATCCTTAGTAGAGTATTAAAACTCATCACTTTATTTCAGATCAGAGACGTCTAAGTAACTAAGCCTAATATTTCCTGTAAAAAGACTCATGTAAGGTCTGTCGAAAAACATAAGCCACAATTGACCTGAAGGAAGGCAGGATCTTTATTTGGTTATCTACTGGCAGGAAATCTCAATGCTTTATTACGTTGCTTCAGTATGTGTACACAGTTACATATTCCCGCTGCAGGCCAAAATAGTCTCTTTTATAATTCATGTTTAGTGATCATCATTGCAGAGCTAAGCCTATAACTAATTTGTATTTGTCAGATCAAATAGTGTCTCTATGAGTAACAGGTGCAGATCACACAGCATGGCCTTTAAAAAATATGTGAGTATCTACGGGCGATTGCAACCGTAGCCCAAAATTTATTCAGTCCATTTAGACATCAAAGAGTATGATGATAGTGTAAAAATGCAAAAAAAAAAAAAATGTTTATCAACAAAACTGAAGGGGAATTTAAATGTTCTGCACATGAATGCTTAAAGTCAGTTATTTTGTTAGATTTTGTTTTATGTAGTTATGATGGAAGACTGTTTGCCAAAAATACTTAGCCAGCTAACCCCGGATAAGTTGTGCTGTAGGAAAATCGTAGTGATTGTATAGAGGTATTCACTCTTTAGTAAGTGCCATTTTGAAACTCCTACCTCTAGGACAAATCCCAAAATCCTGAAAGGAAAGAGGAAATAGCAAAGTTGGCTATCACGCTCTGTCAGAGGCAAGGAGGCCTACTGAAGCACAGTAAACTAAAGTCAAGTAGATATTTATTCAACCTACAAACTTAAGCCACAAAAGTCAGGTACTCCCTGGTGTAATCAAACACAGTAGAGATGAATATGGTACAATATGTGGCACAAAGCAGTGATCTCATGTTCTAAACAGTCCAAAATCATGTGGGACTTAAGACTTTTGGTCGCCTGTTCTGGTCCTGTTACAATAATGTCTTGCTTCTGGAGATACCAGGGACAAGTCACCAAAAAACATCTTTGCACTATCTATCTTGCATTTTTCCCATACAAGATGGCTACACCAGTACTCCACACAAATGCAGCACTGGGATTGGCAGGGTTTGCCAGTCAACCATAGACTCAAAGCCAATACCGCTATGGAACCGCCTCCTCTTAAGACAAAAATACACCATGTTCAGGAGGTATATAAAATCTCATCAGAGCAGATTAAACAAAAGTATAACCTGTACATAAATTAATAAACAAAACGGTTATATTGTCATTTCACCAGCACCCCTCTGTAGGATAGAAAGATGATTCTTCTTAATCTCAACACCCCAGCAGCAAACAAAATGATGGCCATAACATATCCAAGTCTGAAAAAAATATATGTCTACAACTGAGAACAATATGTCAGTGCATTACGGGAATTAGACAATAACTATTGTACAAAGTCAATTCTCAAATGGACAATATACAGTGCTTACATTGTACTTGTCAAAAAACAGTCTGAGTAGTGCTTTACGAGCTATACTGCATACCTCCAAAGAGTCCAATTTTCGGTAGGACATTCACAATGTTTTGCTCCTTTCCCTCACTCCCCAAAAAAGTCAAATAAATTAAAAATAGTAATACATAAATATTACAAAAGAAACACCAGGTACACATTAAGCCCCCCAATGTATTCGGGGTTGTTCAGGTAATTGGTAAATCATATGGATAGGCGCTAATATTGGTGACCATTCCCCCACTATAAAGATCTGAACAGCAAATATATAAATACATACCTTATATATAGAAGAGGCAAACTATTTCCTAATGGTTTGCTCCCTTATTAGGGAGTAGTGACAGGGTACTCCAAGGGATGTCATGGTTATGATGTTTGAAGTAACCCTTTAAACTCACTGAGAGATGTAGAGACTTTGGATGCACCCAGTCGTATATACACAGGTTAATTCGAATGTGGGACTCTTTAAGCTTTGGCCACTTTTATATATTTCTTGTTTGCATTTTTACTTTTTTTATGCTTTTGCGCATATAAGAATTTTCACAGTTTACTTGCAAATGGCGAAAGTCCCAAGGCCCCCTAAGAAATTTAAAATAAGTAAATGAAAATAATATTATACAGAAACAAGACTTAGGATATTGATCAATACTTTATATAATATATATATATATATAACACAATGTATTTAATTGTGTTCTGCACTTTAATACAAATATGGTAAACATTTATTATAATGCATTCTTATGACCTTAATTTCCTAAAACTGGTGATATTAGGGATGATTTTGTTGAACCAAAAATAAAATAATCTAGAATCAGAAATAGCTTTTCACATTATGTTTCCGTGTTTATAGATTTTGCATTCTTGCCTTTGAAAAGGAAATCCTGTGCTTTTTTTACCCAAAGACAAGACACAAGAAAGTGTTGGAATGTTGATGGAATATTGGTCTTGACATTCTTGAGGAAATTACCCTTTTGCGCAGGCTTTTTTCTTATACATGTCACAACCAAAGGAGATTTCAAGAACCTCTGGAATTTAAAGGTACTTTGGCATTAAACTGTTATATGATGCGATCGATATTTAAAAGAAACTCATGCAGTGCACTGAATTATTTAATATCATATTGATATACGATGAATATTACCTTGACTTACTATTGTATTCCTGCCATTAACTTCAACTCACTAAGTTAGTTTTGTCACTGTGTATATACCAGGGTTTTGCGAATCCCAGGCGCCAGGTCGCCATGGTGACTAGGAGTTTTGTACTGGCATCTGTGATTTTTCAACCTGTTTCCTCCGAGGCTGGCGGCCGGTGGTGCGAACTGTAGGCAGGTGGTGACAGAGCTGTGATCTTCTTGCTCTGCTGCCTCGCACACCGCTTAGTGATGCCAGGGCTGGAATATGATGTCAGTCTCTGAAAAGGCAGTGCAGGGACAGGCTATAGACACCAGAACAAGTACATTAAGCTGTAGTGGTCCTGGTGACTATAGTGTCCTAACTATTTTAGCTGGCTCCTAGATTCAAAGCAAATTTATCAAGCCCTGGTATATATACATATTTATGATTTTCTCACCCCCCCCGGGTGGTATGTTTTATTCCTCATTCTCGGGTCCTATACCAGAGGCCTGGGAGTTTGAGGGTTCTGCGCAGTATCATAGCTGTTCCTAGTACAGCACTCTTCTGGACAGCGATCTCAGATGTCCCACCTGGAATCTGTTGAAGCCACTCCCCCAACTTGGGAGTCACAGCCCCGAGTGCTCCTATAACAACTGGGACTACTACTGCCTTCACTTTACACATCTTTTTATATATATATATACACACACTTGTCAAAGAAAGCCACAAATTGGAGCAAGGAAACTGTTCCTGCCATTCATGTCTCTTTAAAATATCCTACAGTAAAAGTTTGTATCTGTCTCCTACGACAGGTCTAGCCATCAGCATCATAGCATGTGTTAAACAAAGGAGATTGTGTGTGTAGGAAGGACAAATACATATCAAATTGATATGTTCTATAAGCCTATAGGAGTATTCTTGAATAGTGCATGCCAGAAAACAGCCTACACAAGCAGTCAAGAAAAACACAACTTTAAAGAACACTAGAGCATTAGGAATACAAACCTGTATTCCTAATGGTATGGTGTCCCTATCTAGTTTATAGTGGCTCCTCACCCAACCATTCGCCATAAAATAATAAAATAAATGTTTTACGCACGTCTTTCCAGCTCCAAGACTTTCTTGGAGTTACTCACTGCTCTGCCTGCTGTGATGTCATCGAGGAGGCATGGCCTCCTCCATTGTTATATATGACTTGTAAGCCTATCACAGGCAATCTAAAGCTCCTCATAGAGAAGCACTGGGACCTGATACGCATGCATGGAGAGCATTGTATTTAGTACTTTCCTATGCATTTTTATGCCACATCACAGAGTTTTACCCTTTCAGTGCTGCAGAAGCACCTCTAAAAGATGGCTGTGTGACAGCCACTAGAGGTAGATTTTACTCTGTAATGTCAATATTGTAGTTTCTAAAAAAAACAGGGTTAAAAGGACAGAGGCACTGCGCCCAAAACACTTCATTTACATGGTGGTCTGGGTGACTTTATATGTCCTTCAAAAGCTATTCCATCTTACACTTTCCTGTAGACACCAAAAATTCCATTTATTCTTTCTAAAGTAACGAGCAGACCCAGGAAAATATATGTCAGTTCCCTGTAGACCTCTTTTCCAGAAGAGAATTGAATTCAAGGGAGATGACCAAGGCAAGAGAGAGTAGAATTTGTACGGAAGCTTAACACCATTTCCCCTCCCTGGAGAAGAGAGGTTTGATTGGGTCAAAGTCAGAGTTCCCTGATATAATAGTGACTAGGGATATTGAAAAAAATATTATAGAATTTACACATACAATGTCAGTAGGTTGACAGCACGACTATAAAAACATGAAAGGCCCCTGTATGAAGATGAAAGTTCTAAATACAGCTGTGACTAGTGTCAAACATATATTTCAAACAATATGCACAACTAAAAAGTGCAGCAACTTTAATTGATGTTAAAAAGTTCAGTTTTCATTTGATTAGGATGAATAAATCAGGATAAATAAACAACGGGCTGGATTTTCCTATTGCTGGTACAGCATACTCCCTTAGCGCCGGGAAAGACGTATAATGGCTTCATTAAACTCTGCTGTTCGTGTGACCTACAGAGATGGCTCAGGAAGGAAACTAACTTCTAACAAGGAAATATGTAAAGAGAGATATAAATTATCTTGCTAGTGAACCAATAAAAACAATACGGAACATTTGGAGATCATGATAAAATTTGTTGTTTTTTTTTTTTTCTTTGCTAAAATAATATTTAAAAATGCCAGCAAATTTAATAATTGCACAAGTAAAATAAATCTCTGCTACTGTTTTGCTTCGTCCTGCACCACCTGCTCAAAGATTACTTCCCATCCAATGTTCAGCCCTTATGTTTCATATCCAGTGCACTCACTGTAATTAAATAGCCCACTAAAATCAGCATTAATGTGTCATAGCCTAAAACAAGACTTGATATTGTAATTTTATTTTTAAAATATCTAAAATGCACTTAAATCCAATAATAAAAAATAAATGAATACAATAATTTTTTCATATAAAATTAAAGTACACCTGTCCAGAAAAAAATACTTTTCATTAACCCATTAATGACAGATAGTGTGTTCTACTAATATCCTTGGATTTTCTTAAGGGGGTTCTATAGACAGCAGAGTCTTATAAGTAAACACCTTTCTTATCCATAGATATTTTGTTTGTGCATTTTTCTCAATTTGAAGCCAGTGATGGGCTGACTTCTAAGCCTATCACAGGCACCTAATAGAGGCAAAAATAGAAAAAGTTCCAGGCCCTCCAGAATAAAAAAAAGGCAAATTTATTGAACCCACCACCACTCACAACGTTTCGACCTGAACGGTTTTTGTCAAGCCAGGTTGAAACGTTGTGAGTGGCGGTGGGTTCAATAAATTAACTTTTTTTTGTATTCTGGAGTGCCTGGACCTTTTTCTATTTTTGCCTCATCAATTATCTGGTTCTTGGTACTGGGACTGGCCTGGCTGCACCCAGATACATATTATATGTTTGATTTAGTCCATTTCCACACCCCTGTTTCTTGGTCATATCACAGGCACCTAGTCTGATGCTTCCCCTTTGAAGCCAAGGACAGAGGAGAAAGAGGGGACACGTGGATGGGCGCAGTTATTATGGTGCTCGGAGTGTTCCTTTAATGAGTTTTAATAAAGTTTATGTTTTAAAACTATTGTTGCTTGCTGTAAGTGGATTTGACTGCTAAATCCCTTTATTTTTAAATAAAAGTACTATTGCTGGTTTGGAGCACTGACCTGCAAGCAATATATAGGGTAAGCGTGTTTCAATTATTTATTCTTGAATTATTTATTTATTTATTTTGTTCATACAATTAAAACTCCCTATTACTTGTACAGGGACTAATTTTATTTTATAATATGAAGCTCTGAAACTCAACCATCATTTCCACTGGCAAGATTTTGCAGTCATCAGATGTCTTCCATACTGTACAACATACTTCCCAAGTGTCCCTATCTAGGATGGACAGTCCCTATTTTAGGCCCAAATCCCCCACTTTTCTGTATAAATGTCCATTTTTTCTCAGAGCTCCATATTGTTTTGGTCTGTCTGAGTGTATACCAGAGCTTTACCGCAATTATACTTACGGTAATATGTTCTTTAATTACAATAAACGTGTTTAGAAATCAGTCTGTGTAAAAAAAAGTTATATTTTAGTTGCATTAATTGTTACTAATAAGTCACCTAAAATTTCTTAGAACAGCCCCGCCCCTGACCACACTTACACTCGCTCACACCGACTTACACTCCTAAATTTAAAGTGTTCCTCATTGTCCGTTTGAAGTGTTAGGAGTTATGGTACTGTAGCAGTGTATTTTTAAGAATACATATATTTTTTTTTTTATTACATGATTACATTTGTTTGTGAACTGCACAAAAACACTAGTGACAGAATCATTGTAAATGTGTTAACACCCTTTTACTGCATGAGATGCTGTGTAACTTATTGCTGATTTCTAAATAAATGATTACTTTTATTTATAAATACAATACAAGTACACCATTTTATTTTTAGTGTACCGTCCCTTTAATGATGACACGGACAGATTTCATGCAGAAGTAAGTAGCACGACACTGTCTCTTGAGAAATCTTTTTGTTTATCGAGCTGCTGCTTGCAGTCTAGTCTGTAGGTCTTCCACCTCTCTAGGCATCTGTGCCATCCATCTGACAGATATCCTGTGAGAGCTTACATGAATATCCACTCGACAAGCCTGCCATAAAATGGAACTGGTGCTCAATGAGACCACACATGCACAGTAAATTCTGTAATACAGACTTATAGTTGTTCCCTGGGGCATGAGACACCCAGCTGTCTGCCCTAGGTTTTTAGTCATGTAGGGAAGCAGTGTGTCATGCATATAGCCTAATCTACATTATCTAAATTAAAAATAAATAATAATAAAAAAAATGAATAGAGAAAAGTGATATTTATAGTTGTGTTTTATTCTTTTTTTTGTTGTTGTTGTTGACTCCTGGTGATAATCTGCATTTGTATTAGGTAGTCAACCAGCCTTGACATGTGCACAGCATTGTCAAACAATGTAACCCAGTATTGAGATGCAAGACAGACAGGTTGACAGACAGGCTCCAGGGCAGCCCCTTACTTACGGTACCATGCTGCTGAAGTGCTCTCTACATAGTCTTAGTGTATTTTGTACAGCCCAAGCGCTTCTAATGATGAGCTCTCTCTGTGTTGTCCGAAGACAGTCCGAAATGCAGGACAATAGGGAACTAATTTAGGACAGCAAAACCTGACCCCAAAATCGGGACTGTTCCACTAAAAGAGTCACTGTTGGGAGCCCTGCTCTAACTATATGTACTGCACACCAACCCTTAATACTTTTGTATATGCGCACTATGGTGAGTGCTCACACATGTACATTAAAGTGAGTGCCCACGTATGGACACTCTAGTAAGCACTCACACATGCACATTCTGGTAAGCGTTCACAAGTACATTCTGGTATGCGTTCATATATTTACATACTGGTAATGCTCACAAACATTTTATCAGAGTAGGATGTCTGGTAATAATATCTGCTGCCTGGCTTCTGCTGCGGCTAACAAATCTGACCGGAGGGTTAGAAATTCCATGTTAGACCTCATGGACCTCATGCAGGGCAGCTGGTATTTATTTGCCCTATTGTTGATGATTCTGCATGATTCAGGCTATGCTTACTTAATAATAATTGGCGGAGTGGAGGCTCGTCCATAGAGGCACTTTGGACAGTGCCTCACCAGTTTTTATGAGTTAAAAACATATATTTGCAGTAGCTTGGAAACACTAAGATTATTTTTCAGGAGGGAAAAGTATGGCTAAAAATGTGTGTCTCTTTAATTCTGTAATGGGTTTCAGTTCTACAGGACCATTCCAGCAGCAGCACATCCTGGCCTATGCCAAGTTTAAGTGTATAATATTATTTTTTTCTCTCCTCTAACAGCCCCAGTGACTGCCTGAGGGATGATTAAGCAAGGGAATGCACTGAAAAATATAATTAAAAAATATAATTAAAAATGTAATTAACATATAAAGCCAGGGGTGACCATGGGAGGGGGATATTTCTAACACAGAGCACTGTGTTGCCTGTCATTAATCATTTTAATAACCCCTACTGCACATACCCACCATCTATTTTAAAGTGCTCAGTCACTCTACAGTTCTAAACCTGAGACAATTATGATGGCAGGACTAGGACTGTGACTCTGAAGATGGCTAATTCTAATTGCAATCTGTTTTAATCTGTAATAATTGTTGCTTCTATTAAACATGTCAGCTACTTCTTGGCTCCATATTACCACTGAAGATGATTTAGATTGCCAGAGGTAAAGGTAATGAGGAGCCTATCAGTATCCTGCTGCTTTAACCCTGTGTTCCCTGTGTGCTCAGAGTTAATAGTGAGCCAGGAGTAACCGACATGTTTGGAGTCTGCTTTAAAGGGACAATATAGGCACCCAGACCACTTCATCTCATTGATGAGGGTCCTGTCCCCCTTAGCCCTGCAATATAAAACTCTGCAGTTTTCGAGAAATGAGGCAAAACCATTCAGCTGCATACAAGGTCATTCAAACTTAAAAATTCAGACATTGTTCACACTATTTAACAATGTCCAGATTTTGCCATTCAGGTCCCAAACTGATGTGAATTTGGACTGAATTTCAGCCACACTGAACACTGCCAGACATCTAAAATCTGGACCGAATTCTGAAAAACCTAGGCACGGAGGCTTCAAATCTGGACTCGAACTTGTTTCAAAATCTTAACTATTTGTAGAAGGCTTAACCATTGCGCTTCCTAAATAGCTTAAAAAATACATTAACTAATAAATAAAAATCCTATGGAGGTCCATAAGACCCCTATATTCCATGAAAAATGAGGCTCACTTTGTACCTTGAGTTTTCCCGTAGGGGACAATAATAAAAAAGATCTGCAAAAAAAGTGATTGCAGGCAAAGCAATATTTGTTTCTACATTGAAAATGTAATCTGTAGTTCATCTGGAACTTTATTTTCATTCCAAGATTACATTTATAATCCAATATGCTTTATGTGACCTAATAAATATACTGGAGCTTTATACTGTAACAAGGAGGTCATCATTTATGTTCCGTTACCGTTAAAGCTGAAATGTTAAATTGTAATGTGATCGTAGTTTACTATGTCTGGTGTTGAGCATTTTTTAATTCATCATTTGTGATTCTATTCTATTACTCACAATGAGAAGAATCTCCGGCAATGGAGCGGGGTTGTATCATGCTGTCTTATGGTCGGCATGTTGTATATAACACTGACTATTTCACATGACGAAAAGTGAAATTTATGAAACAATTTGGGTGAAGAAAGTCATATTGTTTTAAATTTTCTATTTTAGGTATGAAAAGATGTGCATTCACAGGGGAAATTGATAATTGTTTAATCCTGTTACATGCATTGTGGAGACATACAGGGTTTTTCACTAAAGTTAGAATTCAAGGCGACTTCAAAGTGAACATAAAATTTAAGGTCAAAATAGCGAACTGGAAAGATATTTTACAGCAGCTATCTGCTTTCAGTTCGGCTACTCTGGCCTTAAATGTGAAATTCATTTTGAATTCTCACTTTAGTAAATAACTCTGTTACAGGAACAATCTAACATTAGGAATGCAAACATGTATTCCAAATGTTATAATAATGTAGGGGTCAGCCCCTCCTTCCTCCCCCCTTCCCCCCTCTCCATTGACCAAAATATTGAAATAAACCTTTATTACTTACCTTTAGTCCCCAGGCGCTTTGTTCTTGGCCACTCCTCCATTATCTGATATCATCAACACAGAGGATCTCAAACATTGCAACACTCCGGGAACCTAGTGCTCATGCGCAGCAATCCCTGCATGCTGAGTCAATTAGCAACTGATGCATCTCTATGGGGAGCATTTCGGGTCTCCATCATCGTCTGTCCTGCAGAAATTGCAGGACGGCAACAACAAAAAAACAAACCTCTAGCCAGTGTCTGAATAACAGTCACTACCGACAGCATTAGTAAGCAATGTTTTCTCTGAAGACTGCAGGGACAGTCTCTTTGGCTACATTAAGCTGAAGTGGTTTTCGTACTGTCCCTTTAAAGTTACCCTCACTTTACATTCACCATTTTTACACTTAAACCATTTTTTTTTTTAAACTGAAATCCCTAACTTCCTAATTCCACCCTCCTTTTCCAAATTAAGCATGATTAAACAATGCAATCAGAGACTGTAGACCGTAAGCAATGTGGACCTGGAAGCCCGAAAACGCTGTGAAAATTCAGCACAGCCAAACCCTCCTAAACTACGGAGTATTTAAACTCTTATACAGCATAACTAATCCATGTTCACAGAGTACAAATATTTGGACAGAAGATGAAAAAATAATACTTCAATTATGGCATTTCAATCTGGGCATAGGGTGCCAGGGAATGTTCTGTTTATTTTATATTTTTTATAACTGTAAACAGATGCTTAAAATCATATCTATAAATCTCCATATAGTACGGACACACCTCAAGGAAATCAACTATATATCACACAGATGTACCGAATTAGCACAGGAAATATTAGGATTCTTTACACACATATAGAATATCCCATTGTAAAGCACTACGGAAGTTGTTGGCGCTATATAAATATAATAATTATAATAACAATAATAATAATAATATAGAAGCCATATGCCAGCAAAATATCCTGGGTAGGTAGGACTAGGTTCCAGATACGGGACGGTTGGGAGGTATGTGTGAAGTCACCCACGGTGATATTAATCAAACATTAAAGAGCCAATCTAGGTTAACAACACAATTTATAGGTAATTCCATGCATAGTGTGAAGGCATGCTAGGAAAGTACTTAAGGCAGAGAGAGTGTATTTAAAATGCTAATTTCTCAGAAGGTTCACTGGAAGGTTTGAGATTATTTTTATTTTATTTTTTAAACCTCAGAACCTTTTCAGTGTATTAAAATGTTACTGCATATATATATATATATATATACACACCTCTAGGGTCCATATGATTATACAGCAGCCAGTAATGTCGGGGGAAGGTGATGCTTTCTAAGCATCTTGCTTTCACACAAAATGAACATTAGCAGCTGTTATTTCTGCTAATTACCCTTTTCATGTAAGTCCAATTGTTACAGAGAAAATCATAATTATATATTAACGTTAAATGTTTTTTTTATATATTTTAAATAATTGGACTAGAAGTTTTATTGATGCCTTTTCATTGTTTCACTCCTGCTTTTAAAATGTTTCAGGGATTGCTATAAACAATTCTCATTTTAAGCATCTATATAAGTAGGTCTACAAGTCTATAATCAAGTTTGACAGAATTAGCAGCAGTCTGCATGCTGAATACAAGAAGAGCTTTTTCTTTTTTTTTCTTTACACAATTCATTCAGTCGAGGGATATATTAAAAATTACAATGAAGAGATATTTCTTCAGCACATAAAAAAAGGATTACACTGGACTCTTTTGTTCGCGGTGTAACGAAGGGTGAATTACGATTAAAATAATTAGCAACATTACTTTGATAGAGTGTAAGTAATTAATTGAGCCTGACACTCTGGAATACAAGCAGAAGCCCAGACAATTATTTCAGCCACAATTGTTTTTTTTTTTTGTATAATTCCTGTAGATCACTATTCAAAAAATATGACATCTTGTTAAACAATTATAAAAGCATCTACAGGTACAACATTCCACTGATCATGCGTTTTAGCGTTAGAAAGGGGAAGGTCTCAATAAGGTAAGAGGCAATATGAATTCTAGAATTGGGAGATTTCTGAGAATAGATGGAGACTAGGAAATAGGGAAGATGTATTTCCCAAGAAAATATACAAAAAACTATCTACATAGATGAAATGGTGTACACGTCTAAGTAAACAGAGACGCATGTAAAAACAAATAGAAAGACATGTGCATTGTATCAAATATATTCCCTTTCATCTATATGTATATAAACCTTGTTTTAATTACATTTTCAGACATGGATTAAGTGAACACCATACTTGACATTTTCAGGATATTTAATTTAAATTTCCAAATTATTTTCTTCTAGTTTTTTTTTAAACATTTTTTTTGTTCAAATAAACTGTGAAATACCGCCTAGCCTTCATCGTAATGAAAAGACATATTTGGAATTTTATGGAGGTCGTATTTTCGTCTCTCATTCAGTTTGGATCTGGAGGTGATTAAAGAAACAACACTGGTGTCTACATGTTAACAGAAGCTCAAAAAACAGGAAATACCAGAATTAAAAGTTGTGTTTTTATATATAACACAGCTGTTCCAGCAAAGTAAAGCAATGTATGCCTCCTAAAATAGTGCAATGGCTTTTTATATCTCATTATTGAGTTCATTTATTAGGGTTCAATGATCTGTTTGCTGCCCCAGTAGCACCACTGGATAAAATACATGGGGCTGCCAACTAACACCTGCAGAGGTATCACAAAAAACATATTTTAATGTATTTCCAGCATCAATTCTTTCCCTCCCACCTCTGTACAGGCCAGTCCTAACATGGGGAAAATCATGGAAGCAACAGTAATGCCTGTTAGCTTTGTTTAACTGGGAATACTATAAAGTGGAAATTAACGTGAATTCACATGAGGTCAATCTGAGATTGTATACCACTAAATTAACACTAAGAAGCAATACAATTACAAAAAAAAATTGTAATGTATACATTTTTTTTTCAAACTTACTGTGTTACTTTCTAAGTTTGGAGATAGAGCCCCCCATTTATTAAAATAAAAAATGTAAATTCACTCTTAAACTTCGCATTAATCCAGTGCCAAGACAGACTGCTTGCTGCAGCCCGATACGCCTTCTGTGAAGTCATCAACATGAAGACTTTTGTCCAATCAAAAGCTTTTCTTAGAGAATCATTGCAGACATATAGTTCATGTATGGCCACAGGCATGAACATCAATATAATGCTTCTCTATGAGAAGCATTTCCTGCAACTCGTGCTTTACATGTAGATGTCAGTCAAAATATATTTTATTATTTAAAGGACCACTATAGTGCCAGGAAAACATACTCGTTTTCCTGGCACTATAGTGCCCTGAGGGTGCCCCCACCCTCAGGGTCCCCCTCCCGCCCGGCTCTGGAAGGGGGAAAGGGGTAAAAACTTACCTTTTTCCAGCACTGGGCGGGAAGCTCTCCTCCTCCGATCCTCCGCCTGCCGGCTGAATGCGACGCAGCTGCGCAGATTCAGCCGGTCATAGGAAAGCATTCATAATGCTTTCCTATGGACGCTTGCGTGCTCTCACTGTGATTTTCACAGTGAGAATCACGCAAGCGCCTCTAGCGGCTGTCAATGAGACAGCCACTAGAGGATTTGGAGGAAGGCTTAACCCATTGATAAACATAGCAGTTTCTCTGAAACTGCTATGTTTATAAAAAAATGGGTTAACCCTAGAAGGACCTGGCACCCACACCACTTCATTAAACTGAAGTGGTCTGGGTGCCTAGAGTGGTCCTTTAATCTATTTGAGTCCAAAATCCCTGACTGCTAGACGGAAGAGGTGTAAGAATTACAAAAAGAAAAAAAAATCTGAAATTGCACTGTTTTGAACTGCAATGCTACATCAGTTGCATCTATACACCTAAATCACCTAATATGAAGTGATATTGGTCTTTAGACTGCCCCTTCCATGTACGTAGAATATAACTAATCCTTTTAAAGAAGCTTATATTTGTATAAATTTAAAACATGCCATTGTTATTATTGAACAGAAAAAAGCACAGAATGTTTGATGCTCGGCAGACAGAATAAACAGACAGAGATACACAGACTTTAGATAAATCATCAATAGGCAGACAAGAAGAACAAGTAGGTGCTGTGGAGAAATGAACCTTTGTAAACACATTGGAGATAACCTTGGTGTTGTCATGATGTATCTCAAAACAGTGTTTGTGTCAACACAGAAAACAAATCGCAGAGACACCTTTCTTTTGGGCCGTCATACCACAGAACTAGATATCAGCAGAAACAAAAAGCGTGAATCCTACGGAAAACTTAAATAGACTGAAACAAACTGGTTTTGCAGCAAATACCACTTAAGCTAACTAGATATCAGCATTTAACACAACGTGCGAATCCTACGTAAAACTTCGATAGACTGATACAGAGATGGTTTCGCAGCAAATGACTGCAAGTGAGACGAACGGTTCTTGAAATCATAAATAACCATGATACAATATTAAACACCATTTCCAAAGAATGCAATGTATTAACCAGCTAAAGTAAAGAACATGTTTCCGCATTGTGACTTAGAGTCTGACTGTATGGATTGCGAATTTATGTTCGTTATTTCAACCACAAGCAGAAAATTAGGATGGGCTGTACGGTTTATACCTTGTCTCAAGAAATTAAGAAAAGACATACAGATATGAAATAATTAAGGACAATTTACAGTCTAGTATTACAATCAAAGTCTTACCTTCAGCTTGTCATATCTATCACCAAGTGCTGCCACCTGATGATCTCGGTGTCGTCCAACCAGTTTACACAAGGCACAAATTAGTTGATCATCTGTAACACAATACATATTCACTTTTTCATCCTCGTGCTCCAGACACATTAACCCTCGAATGTGCGAGTCAGGGATGGGCTCGATTAAACGGTGGCCAGTAAATGGCTTCTTGTTTGGGTGTGTTGCCTTCAAACAGTCCTCGCAGTAGGACACTTCACAAGTCACACAGGTTTTGACGGCCTCCCTAGCCTGGTCCTGGTCACAGAACTGACAGGGGACTTTCTCGCTGGATGTCATGCTGCTATTGGTGTCGTAAGCCCTTTCTCGTCGCGTTTCACCAGGGGAATTGGGCACACTCACAGATGCTTTCTGAAATCTGTCGATGATGTTCTGCAGAGTCACGTTCCGCTTGAGTCCGTCTAAGCCACGCTTGCTGAGTGTGATGACATAACGGCAGGTGGGGCACTGGAAGGCGTTAATAGATTCTACTGATTCGTTGTTGGCACAGTGGGAGACCAGGATGCGATGCGCACAGTTGAAACAGAGGCTGTGAGCGCAAGGCAGTAGCAGTGGGTCTTCAAACAACTCTAGACAGATAGGGCAGGTCAGTTCCGACTCCAGTGTTTCCATCTTCAGGCAAAGCTTTCCTGTGTCGTCAGCGAAATCCAGGGAAGCTGACCAGCTATCTGGAAACAAAATATAAAATATGATTAAGCAAGAGAGCAAGAGGGGTCAACCATGGGGGGTTGTCAACTTGATTGTTAGCAATACTTTCACATGAACTTTTTATGCCTAAGAACAAAATATGCCCACGTTTATATTCTTACGGCCATCAATTAATTATCTTATGGTTCATACACAGTCATTTGTGCAGGGCTAATTGGAGAAAGAAGAATGCTTCCAGGATTAGGAACCAAACCTTCAATTAAAAGACTTGTCCTATTTTTCCGTTCCCAGTCTGAAAAAAATTCTATGACATTTAAAATTTTATAAAATCTCTAAATGTAGTCAGACAACAAGGAGAGTCAAAGGGCAATTTTGTTCACATGAGAAAAATAATAAGGGGAAGATTCTTGAAAGGGACTCATTATTTACAGAATGTAAAAAACTAAAGTGATCCCAGAATGCCTATGTCAAAGACTGAACATACAGTATATAATGTGTACATATACATATGTAATGTGTATATTATATAGACACACAAATTTAAAAAGCATCCACAATAAATGCATGCAAACTTAAAAGATAGGCATATTTGGTACACTGATCAGACAACATTGCATTTACTCGTTGAGTGCCAGCAGTGTATTTTAATTAATTCCAAATCCAAAAATGTTACTCACCCCTCTGACACCTAACGAGTTTGGCATTCCAGTGATTAAAGACAGGCATGTTTTGTCAATATTTCTGTACAGTCTTCCCAAAGATAAACCCCATCTCAGTCCCACCTGGATTATCGTTCAAACAGCTTAAATTGGCTTTTTTGAGACATTTCTCAATGTACAATAGAGAAAAACGAAAGACAAAATGCCTTGTTCGGCTTTTTTAGTTTCAGAGTGTGGAATTGCTTTGTAGAGTCGCTCTACGCAGCTCTCCTTGCCTCTGCTCTCATCACGGGATCATCTCTGCCTCGAGCGGACAGGCCAGTAGAGCAGAAGGGAAAGCTATGCTTCACACTCGTATAGATGTTCCTCTGTAGAGTGCCATAGACACAAGCTTTGTTACTCACAGGAAGGACAAATATAGACAGCACAGCTGCATCACTCTACACTGTAAACTTATTCAATTTGTATGAACTCTTGTCTTCTCCTCACCTCGATGCACACACACAAAACAATAATAATAAAAAAAAACAAGTTACGGTTCATTAATGTTCCTCATTAGCAGCTTGGGAAAGAAATCTCATCCAACCAATGACTTCACTAGAAATTATTTAGAGCAGTAGTTATAGGAATGGGAATTTTTTTTTCACAGCCACTGAAAATAACCATAAGGAAATAAAATATTTCAATTAAAAATGGTGTAGCACAAATTATAACAAATGTGTTTATACTAGACCTCGAAACAAAGATTTTTTTTTCTTTAACAAATAGATATTTAGTTGGCATGAATTTGTCGTTGGCTCAGAATCGACCCTAATTGGTAGAAAAAGACCATTAGAACAATTCTAGATTATTTAGGCTGTGACAACATAGATCCAGAATCCAAAGAGACACACTGAGAGTTATTTATAATGAGCAATTTTGGTATAGTATTGTAAAGTGGAGCAAACCTGGAAACAAATGGAATCCTGTAGCTCAGTGGTTCCCAAACTTTTTAGGTTCAAGGCGCCCTTAATGTTTCAATATTTTTTCAAGGCACCTCAAGTCAAATGTTTCCCTGTCAGGCGGATCCAGAACCTAATCTCGGGAGGGGCACTTGTTGATTATTTAAAGAAACAATCCAGGCACAATAACCACTACTGCAAGCTCTGTGTGAGGGGTGCAATGTGTGTGGGGTTAAGTGTGTGTGTGTGTGGTGCAGTGTGTGTACGGGGGTGCGTTGTGTTTGTGAAGGATGTAGTGTGTTTGTGGGGTGCATTGTGTCTGTGTGTTTGAAGGGTGCAGTGTGTGCAGTGTGTGCGTGAGGGATACAGTATGTGCGTGAGGGGTACATTGTATGTGTGACGGGTACATTGCATGTGTGGGGGGAAGTGTATGTGGGGGGGCAGCGTGTGTGTATTGAGGGAGCAGTGTGTGTGTGTATTGAGGGGCAGTGTGTGTATTGAGGGAGGCAGTGTGTGTATTTGAGGCGGGCAGTGTGTTTGTGGGGGCAGAGTGTCATTGAGGGGTACAGTGCATGTGTGTATTAGGGGTACAGTGTATGCGTAAGGGGGGCAGTGTGTGCGAGGGCTACAGTGAGTGTATGGGGGGCAGTGTGTGTTTGAGGGGAGCAGTGTGTGTGTATAGGGGCAGTGTGTGTGGGGTGTACAGTGTGTGTATAGGGGCAGTGTGTATTAGGGGGCAGTGTGTGTGTATTTATGGGGGGCAGTGTGTGCATAATGGGTAGTGTGTGTGTGTGTGTGTGTGTATATATGGGGGCAGTGTGTGTGTATAGGAGGGAGGGTTGGAGGAGGAGGGTAGATTAATAAATATATTTTTTTTTATTTAAAAAAAGCAAAAATATATATTTTTTTCATATCCCCCCTCTCTTAACTTTGCCTGGGAGGGGGTCAGTACTAATCCCTAGCGGTCCGTGGGGAAGCCCTGGTGGTCCAGGTGGTGAGAGGGAACTCTAGCAGCCTCAGGAGCTGCTAGAGTTCACTCTCGTGAGATTCTAGGCGTTGCCATGGTAACCACGGCAACACTCCAAGCTTGCAAGAGGAGAACCCGGCGGAGCTGGAGGTTAGATCATTACACTGCTAGCAGCCCAAAGAGGGAGATCTCTGATCTCCCCCCTGGTCCTGCAGAGCCGGCAGGGGACAGGAAGGCACAGTTCCCGGTGCTATCATGCAGTAATAGCAAAATGTCAGTGCTGGATGAAACATTTTAGGTCATAGCACTGGGAAAATATCTGACGGCTCCCCTGTGTGCCCGTCAGTTTGGGAACCACTGCTGTAGCTTGTTCTGTTGCTAGAACTCTGCCATACAATTCATAAGATCATAAAAAATAATGGTTCAAAAGGAGTCCAGAATAATGAACATGGCATTATGTTTGGACCTAAAACTGCATGGCAGTGTGATTTGGTGCTAGTAGTGCTCTTCACAAATGTCAGAATATCATGTAAGTGGAATTTTTTTTATTTTTTTTAAATTATGGATTCTGGTCAATTAGAACCAAACTTCAATTTTGTGCTGTTTTATGATTGTATTTAAAAATGTGTCGTGTAGCTAAATTAACATCTCAAGAATGGATCTTGTGCTGTTTCTAGAGACTCCTGAATAATTATCCCTAACGTTACTGTGCAAATGCCATATCAATTATGACAGCACTACTTAATGACATATCAGGGCATTTCTGTCCAAGAGACAGCACTTCGGCAGCACTGGCTATAAATGTCACCCATTCCAAATCCACAGCTCCCAATCCTGGATATAATGTACTAATTCCATGATACCATCTAGAAAATATGGGTCCTCAAAAAAAAGTTCTAGAAACACAGGTTTTGCTTGTCTTGTGACTCAAAAGCATTATAAACAATATCAGTTATTTAAGACATATCAGATCCTCTACAGATTTCCAAGCAGAAATAAGAAGGAATGATTTTGCTGTGGTTGAAAGACTATAAACTTAAGTCACTTGACATTGTTAATCAATGGCTGCTACAGTCAAAAACCGAGAATCGCATGGAAACAGATATTTTTGTAAGACACTCTTGGCTGTTCAAATGTAAATCAGGCTACACAAAACACTGATGACAGATTTCCATGGCATCCTGAGTAAATGTTGACATTGGAACAGTGCACATCATGACAGAGTGTTCCAAATATCAAACCTGAAATGGTGTAATTTCACCACTGTTTACAATTACACAGTGGCAGTTAAAGGAACACTCCAAGCACCATAACCACTACAGAGCCCTGTAGCAGTTTTGGTGCCTGGAGTAGCCTGTTCCTCTTCCAGAGTAAGTGGGCAAATCATTTATAGAGAAGATGGATGTTTATCCTGAACTAATTTGAACTTATATGTGGCTGTGCTCATTGGCTGAGAGCTCAGCTAAAGCTCTCAGCCAATGAGAGTGGACCCCCAAGGCGCTGCCTAGCTTTGTAATATATCTGTGTCTAACAGTATTGTCCTATGTTTGAACTGAGAAATAGTAGTTCCATGCTGTTTGGATGGTTCCTGGTTTACAAACAGTCCACAACTCCAATGGGAGACAGACAAGCCAGGACATAGGCCAGTACAGGCAGCAGTAATAGCAAAATGTCAGTGCTGGATGAAACATTTTAGGTGACTTAGTTATAACAATTTATACAACTAAAATGAGGGATTTGGGCCCAAATTAAGTCCTATGTGTTCTAATTAGGGACAGTTAGATGGTATGCATGCCAAAGCTCTAACACTGTTGTTGACTTTGAAAGATGTTGATAAATGTACAATAACAGTTGGACACAGCATGTGCGTCTAAAGCGAATTTGTGTCCATCTTTATTTGGGACATCAGCCCAGTAAGTGTCAGTTAGTGTGTAGATGAATATTGTGGGTAAAAAAACTGTTTGTGTCTACTCTGTTGTATAACTGAAACTTGTTCAAATAATTAAAACATACTTAGGTACAATTAATTGCTTGCAAAAAAAACAGCATTCTTCCATTTGTAGAATGTATTGGGAAGCTAAATGAGCATGTCAAAATACACTGAACCGGAATTAATTAGCCAGAAACCCGCAGCATAGCCTTAGGTACGAGTGACAGTAAGTAGACAGGCAGATGTATTACAAACACAATTAATGGTTGCCGATGAAGAGACCTTTTAAGAAAGCATGGGATGCTCTCCCATATTATGCATTCCGTAAAAGCAAGTATCTTTCAGCAAGCAATCACAGGAAAATTGCCAGAATCAACAACTGCAAGAAGTCACGGCAATGGTAATCAACATTCTACATGTTAACAAAATATGTATTAACAACAGTGACAGTGCCTCCAAAAGGCCGAGTTTCAAAGTATACCTCTCATGCCAAACTATTATAAAATTACCTCATAAAGAAAAAAATTAAATCCATTTAAAATTGGTTGTGCTAGTCATTAGAAAAAGTTAAATGTAAGCCACTGTGTTCCCTGGAATCCTGTGTTAATTTGGTCCCCAAAGGTTGAAGCGGGTCTAACACATCAAGCTTGCTTTTTTTACTGGCTCTATATTTATTTGATTTCCATTTATTATGTTTTACGTTGCAGATAAGTTAAGTAGAGGCTACTTTTCCTTGTTTATAATTGTCAAGTTCAGTCAAGTTCGCCTTCCTTGTTTAAATCTGTCAGAGGAGAACTCGCAAAATATTTACTTCCTCTCAGTATCCTGTGTTGTGCAATTTTGGCTTCCCTGCGCATACACGGCTATTAGCAAACCAGGCACAATGTCGGCTGTTGACAGCTAACACATTATAGATCATAGGCTTTGTCTTTTAGGTACTCCTTGTGCAATGATGTGCACTGTGAAGTGGGCATGTGAGAGATGGCATCACAGAAGAAATAAAGGATAATGAAGAGAAGAAAGATCTGACAGGTCATAAAGAAAAGGAAATTTGCCATAAAATGATGTAGTGATAACTTAAGCACCTTTACCGTAACCAACAGAGGAGTGAAATGGCAAGGGGAAAAAAAAATGGTAAAAGATTATGACATTAGGACCTCCCAAGCTGATGAGTTTCCAGAGATTCCTCAGGTTTTTGCCATAGCACTAATGAACTGTTTGACAAAGTC